GGCGAGTGATCCGTATTCAGGTTCGGACAGACACTGGGAAATACGCAGCTGGGTCGACGGCAGGCCGACTCTATTTCTTTGCTTTTACAGGCCAGCCGATACATGTTCGCGGTGGGTCCGCCAAGATCAGAAATCACGCCGGTGAAGCCTGGCACACGATCACGGATCTCTTCCACCTCACGCAGAATCGAAGCTTCGGAACGGCTCTGAATAATGCGACCTTCGTGTTCGGTAATCGAGCAGAACGTGCAACCGCCAAAACAACCCCGTTGAATGGCCACCGAAAAGCGAATCATCTCGTAAGCCGGGATCTTGGCATCACCGTAAACCGGATGTGGCACCCGTGTGTAAGGTAATTCGTAGACCGCATCCATCTCTTTTGTGGTCAGCGGAATCGGCGGCGGGTTAATCCAGACGTTGGTATTGCCATGCTGCTGCACCAGGGCACGCGCGTTGCCAGGGTTTGATTCCACATGTAACACCCGGGATGCGTGGGCATACAGAATCGGATCTGCGGTGACCTGTTCAAAACTCGGCATGCGAATCACCGAGGTGTCGCGGTTTTCACTGGGCACGTCGCGCACGAAGCGCACCACCTGCACATCGTCCGGCAGCGATGCCTGATCGCGACCCTTGCCCACCTCAGGCTTCATCTCATACGGGTCTTCTTTAGGGTTGAGACGTCCAGGGGTATCCAGGTGCGTGGAGTCAATTTCCGTCCAGCCGCCGGGGGTTCGCGTGCGTTTGAAGGCTGTGCCGCGGATATCGGTGATCTCTTTAATGTCTTCACCAGCCGCCATACGATGGGCGATTTCAGCAATCTGCCGTTCCGCATTGCCAAACACCAGCAAATCAGCTTTGGCATCCAGCACCAGCGAGCGACGGATTTTTTCAGACCAGTAATCATAGTGCGCAATGCGACGCAGGCTGGCTTCGATACCGCCGATGATGATCGGCGTAGACCCGTATGCTTCGCGCAGCCTGTTGGCGTAAACAATGACGCTGCGATCCGGACGTTTACCACCGATACCACCAGCTGTGTACGCATCATCCGAGCGCACTTTGCGATCTGAGGTATAGCGATTCACCATGGAATCCATGTTGCCGCCGGTGACGCCAAAAAACAGATTGGGTTCACCCAAGACCTCAAAGTCTTTTGTTGATTGCCAGTCCGGCTGGGCAATGATACCCACACGAAAACCCTGGGCTTCCAGAAAACGTCCCACAATCGCCATGCCAAAACTCGGGTGATCCACATAGGCATCCCCGGTGACAATGATGATGTCGCAGCTGTCCCAGCCAAGTTCATCCATTTCCGCACGGCTCATCGGCAAGACAGGCGCGGGTGTCAGACGATGCGCCCAGTATTTGCGATAACTCATCAGCGACCTGGGGGTCGCATCAACCGAAGATTCTTGGATATTTTTCATAGCGCGGCATTCTACCTGGCTCTATCATGAGGCGGGTTATAAATTTCAAGGGGAGAAGACCATGTTAAACAAAGTATGTCTGGCCATTGTTCTGACACTGTGCGGCCTGCACGTCGTGGCGGAGGAAACATTGCTGTACGAAATGCGCACCTACACCACCAATGAAGGCAAGCTGGACGCGCTGCATGAGCGCTTTCGCAATCACACCATGACCATATTTGAAAAGCACGGCATGCAGAATGTAGGTTACTGGATACCCGCAGAGACACCGGAAACACTGATCTACATCATTGCCCACAAAGACAGTGCTGCGGCGCAGGCCAGCTGGCAGGCGTTTGTTGCTGATCCCGAATGGCAGGACGTTTATGCAAAATCTATTGCAGACGGCCGCCTGGTGAAAAATATTGTCAGCGTGTTCATGACCAAAACTGATTACTCGCCCTGATCTGCATGCAACCGGTGCGTTCGGTTTAAACAACCGAGCGCGGACAGGTTTCTGCGCCGACAGGAGGCTAGGGAAGACGCTGGGCTTTAGCAAACCCGGAACTTATTACACCACTGCTGTTCTGCACAGCCCCAGACCAGTCACGCCACATGTCACCATCCGGCGGACTGCTGCGCAGCTCATCCAGTTTGTCAGTCCAGAAATCAGCCAATACTGCCTGTCGAATAACATCTGAGTAGTTGTGCCCGGCCATGTGCGCTGTCCGGTGATGCCAGAACACAATGTCACCCGCTTTGCCAAAACACTCCACAGGCTGTTCCTGGGTATCCAGTTCTTCGATTGTTCTGAGATATTCAGGTGTGTGCACAATGCCTTTGAAACTGGGTAGATGATCGTAATAAGGAATGCGCGGTTGATCGTAACGCAGGTTAAATGTGGGATAGAGTCTGGCGTGTGACCCGGGCCAGACTTTAAAAGCGCCACCGCCTTCAGGAATATCATCCAACAGGCCGACCACACCTAACTGAAACGGGTGCCCATCAGTATGGCAGGCATCCGCTTCGCGGGGTTTATCTCCGTAGGGTAGCGTGCAGTAAACCCCGCGCGCGCCTTCGGTGCCGACGGCAGGGTCTGTTGGTCCACCAGGCCAGGCCGGACCCTGGCTACCCATGGGTGTACCCCCGACAACCGCCTGGCGCAATTCCCCGCCCAGCAGTTGTTCAGCCATCGCACAAATCGTTTCACTGTAGATCAGTTCAACCACCTGGGGTGACACACCCAGGGCGCGATTCAACCAGCGATAACCCTGGCGAGTGTGCACTGAATCCAGGGATTCATCCTCAGACAGGAAGGGGCCTACATGGGTCGCTTTTTCATCCCGGCGGAGATGACTGTCAGGGGGCAGTGCCGCCCACATCTCGTCACGCACTTGAGCACAAAGCGCCAGGTCCATCGCCCCGGGTACCAGAAGGTATCCGTAACGTTTGAAAAAACTGATCTGTTCATGACTCAGCCTCACAGTCATTCCCCTTTGAATATCACTCTGCTGGCAGCGCCAACCGATCATCTCTATGATGGCCCGCGATGTCCAGCAACTCCACACACAGCAATATTCTGATTATCGGTGCCGGTTCCGCAGGTGCGGTACTGGCCAATCGACTCAGTGAAGACCCGGACTGTCAGGTTACCCTGCTGGAAGCAGGGGGCAGCGATCGTCGCCTGATTGTGCAGATGCCGTCGGCTTTTTATCTGCCGGTAAAAAACAAGTCCCTCAACTGGGGATATATGAGCGAACCGGAAGCACAGCTGAACAATCGTCGTCTGCTGTGCCCAAGGGGGCGGGTATTGGGTGGTTCTTCTTCGATCAACGGCATGGTCTATGTGCGCGGCAATCCTGCGGATTTTGCCGCCTGGCAGGCACTGGGCGCAGACAATTGGGACTACACCAATGTTCTCCCCTACTTTCGCAAAGCACAGAACTTCGAAGGGGTAACCGGCGAAGATGAGTACAGAGGGGCGCAAGGACCTCTTGCTGTTTGTGACGGTGAGCTGGCCAGCCCGCTCTATCAGACTTTTTTACAGGCCGCCGCCCAGGCCGGACACAATCTCAGCCCGGACCTGAACGGTGCTCAGCAGGAAGGTTTTGGCAAGCTACCTATGACCGTAGATAAAGGTGTGCGGGCATCCACTGCCCGCGCGTATCTGCAGCCTGCACGACACCGGCCGAACCTGACCATTCACACCCGTACCCACGCCTTGAATTTACTGTTTGATGGGAACAAAGCGACCGGTGTAACCGCAGACCAGCGAGGTCGGCAAAAAGAATTTTACGCCGACGAAATTATTCTCTGTGGCGGAGCGATCAATACCCCACAACTCATGATGTGTTCAGGCATTGGACCCGCAGAATCGCTGAAGCAGGTGGGTATCCAACCCAGGTTAGATCTTCCGGGCGTGGGCCAGAACCTGATGGACCACCTGGAAATCTATGTACAACAGGCCTGCAAACAACCGGTCAGCCTGTATAAAGATCTGGGCTTATTCGGACGTGCAAAAATAGGTTTGCAATGGCTTGTTAACCAACGTGGCCTGGGCGCGACCAATCATTTTGAGGTAGGTGGATTCATTAAAAGCGATGCCAGCGCGCCCTATCCCAACATCCAGTTCCACTTTCTACCTGCCGCCATGCAATATGACGGCAGCGCAAAAGCAGAACAGCATGGCTTCCAGGCACATGTCGGCCCGATGTTATCCCAGAGCCGAGGGGCGGTAACCTTATCCAGCAGCAACCCGAAAAAACATCCGCGCATAGCGTTTAACTATATGTCGCATCCAGAGGACTGGCAGGTGTTTCGCCAGGCCATTCGCGCCGCCAGAGAGATTTTTGCGCAGGAGGCATTTGATGACTTTCGCGGCATTGAATTGCGGCCTGGCGCACAGGCACAAAGTGACGCAGAGCTTGAAGCGTTCATTTCAGAACACGCAGAAAGCGCTTACCACCCTTGCGGAACCTGTCGCATGGGCGAAGACAACGGTGCGGTAGTCAACAGCGAAGGACAGGTTCACGGCATTGACCATTTAAGTGTGGTGGATGCTTCCATATTCCCTCGTATCACCAACGGCAACCTGAATGCTGTTGTCATCATGGTTGCTGAACGCTGCGCAGATTTGATCAAATCCAGAATCTGATCAAAGCAGGGTCTGGATGAATAGACCCCTGGCAATTAGACTAGGCACTGAGTCATCAAGAGAAAATGTTATGAGCAAAAAAGTAGACTGGTACTACTATCGCGGGGGCTGAACCACCTGCACTAAAGCATCCAAGTTTTTGGAAGCCAGTAATATCGAAGTGAAAGAAACCGTTCCCGCGAGCCGTAAACTGCAGCGTGAAGATGCCGAAGCTTTATTAGCTAAAGCCACAAAAATGACTGTGGCCAAGGGTAAAAAGGTGCAAACCTTCAAGGGTGGTAAAAATGCGCCCACAGAGGCCGTAGACGCCATGCTCGGGGCAACCGGCAACATGCGCTCACCCACTATTGTTGTGGGCAAAACCTTGTTAGTCGGGTTTAACGAAGAAGCGTTCAGCGAAACATTCGGCTGAACAGGTGATTGAGTACTGAAACGACTCAGTACTCAATAACACTGTTTTCGAAAATGAACCCACCTGGGGACATCACCAGTCGATGGCGTTCGCCATCGACATCAGCATCCCAGGGTTCGTAACCCGAATCACCTTCCCACAACGCTACGCGCGTGCCTTCGGAATTCTGCACCACGCGTGTGGCGTAGTACCTGGGTTCCTGTTCCGTAAGACGCGACATCAGCGAAGCACTGGGTGTATATCGCGAAAGATGATAAAGCGTAACCCAGGTAGGAGGCACCAGATCGATCTCACCTGCAGCATGCCGCTCCAGGGCTTTAACCGGGCTGACCCAGGCATGCTCTTTGATTTCGCCGTCATCAATAACCACCTCATCGTCACTGTCCAGCACCGTTGCAAAAAACCAGGTCGCAAAACGCTTCTGCGGACCTGGTGGTGGTGTCCAGTGTGCAAACCAGGTGAATTCGTCAGGCGTTACAACAAGCCCGGTTTCTTCCAGGGTTTCACGGGTTGCAGCGGTTCGGGCAGCGTGGGTATCGTCAGCACCGGGCTGGCGATCGGCGGCGTCAATTTTGCCGCCGGGAAAAACCCACATACCACCAAAGGTGATTTTCGAGTTTTTCCGCAACATGAGCACCTCAACCCCCTCCTCGCCGTCGCGTAGCAGGACCACGGTGGCGGCAAGAATGGGAGGTGCTACGCCCTCGTCGTCTTCCGATCGGGCGTTGATGTCTCCATACATGTCATTTTTATGCGCCATGATTCCCGGCCTCGCTCGACTACAGTACTTCGAACAAACCAGCAGCACCCATGCCGCCACCAATACACATGGTGCAGACAACGTACTTGGCGCCGCGCCGTTTGCCTTCGATCAAGGCATGCGCGACCATCCGCGAGCCCGACATCCCATAGGGATGGCCCACTGAAATGGCACCGCCATTCACATTCAGCAGTTCATCTGGAATACCCAGCTTGTCACGGCAGTAGACAACCTGCACAGCAAACGCTTCGTTGAGCTCCCACAGTCCGATGTCATCCATTTTCAGGCCATTTTTTTCCAACAGCTTGGGTACGGCAAACACCGGACCAATGCCCATCTCATCTGGATTGGTACCAGCAACGGCCATGCCACGATATGCACCCAATGGCTGCAAGCCACGTTTCTCAGCCAGACCGGCTTCCATTAATACACAGGCTGACGCACCATCCGACAGCTGAGAGGCATTACCTGCGGTCACATGTTTGCCTTCGGCAATCACCTGACCACCGGAAAACACTGGCTTCAACCCGGCCAGAGATTCGGCGGTTGTACCGGGTCGGTTGCCTTCATCTTTGTCCAGGGTAACTTCTGAGTCGGTGACTTCGCCGGTTTCTTTATTCTGGAATTTCATGATGGTGGACATAGGCACAATTTCATCATCGAACTTACCTGTTGCCTGAGCTTCTGCAGTGCGCGCCTGGGAATTGGCGGCAAGGATATCCTGGGCTTCACGACTCACATTGTATCGTTCTCCGACCACTTCAGCAGTTTCCAGCATAGCCATGTAAAGCGCTGGCTTGTTTTTTAACGCCCAGGGGCTGGGAATGGCAAACATGTCTGCCGTCTGGTTCATCGAAATAGATTCCACACCGCCCCCTATGGCCACGTCCATGCCATCACTGATGATCTGTTTTGCAGCGATACCAATTGCCATCATCCCGGATGAACACTGCCGATCGATGGTTTGACCCGCAACACTATCCGGCAAGCCGGCTTCAAGCAGACACTGACGCGCAGTATTGGAAAATGCAGAACCCATCTGGATGGCCGCCCCCATGATCACGTCTTCTACTTCTGCAGGGTCAATGTTTGCCCGTTGTACCGCATGACGAATGGCATGCGCGCCTAGCGCCTGGCTGGGGGTTGCATTAAACGCACCCCGATAAGCTTTACCAATAGGGGTACGGGCCGTAGATACAATGACAGCTTCGCGCATGTTTATTTCTCCAAAACAGTGAGTGCGGGTTAATCTTAGAGGCTCAGGTTAACATAGGCTCCAAGAGAGCTGGCGAACAAGGATGAACATTTATGGGCAAAAATCCACCTTTCTACAGCCCCGCACAAAGGCAGTTACAGGCCCAATTTGACAGCGAAGCGCTGGCCTCTCGGCTCGAAGAGCTGATCGTGCAGCCTGAGCTCGACGAAGCTGCACAAACATTTGTGCAAAGTGCTGATTACTTCTTTTTGTCTACCGTCAGCGATACAGGCTTTCCCAGCGTTTCCTACAAAGGTGGCGATCCGGGATTTGTAAAGGTCATATCCCCAACCCAGTTGGCATTCCCCTGTTATGACGGCAACGGCATGTACTACTCCATGGGCAACATATCAGCCCATGGCAAAGTGGGCTTGCTGTTTATCGATTTTGCAACACCCAACCGGCTGCGCATTGAAGGCACAGCGGTACTGAGCCAGGCACCTGACCTGCTCAACCAATGGCCGGAAACTGCACTGGCTTGTGTGGTAGACATCACCAGCACCTGGATTAACTGCCCTCGATATATCCACCCGATGCAGCGCCAGGGCAGCTCCGAATTTGTGCCCCGGGAAGGGGTTGAAACGCCCATCCCGGAATGGAAATCGTTTGAACTGGTGGCAGATGTTGTACCACAACCTGCTCACACGTTAGGTACCCATGGCCAATCCCCACAACTCACCCCAACCGCTAACAAAAAGGATCCCACATGAATGTCAGTGACGCTGTCGCCCAACGAAAATCGATCAGAGCATTCTTAGATACACCCGTCGACAATGCAGTGATTGCTGAGCTGCTGGAAAAAGCGGCAAGAGCGCCTTCCGGAGGCAACGTTCAGCCCTGGCGAATCTATGTCGTCAATGGTGAGACAACAGGTAAATTCCTGGAATTCCTGCAGACCTCAGATATCAAAGACACACCGGAATACGCCATTTATCCTAAAGATCTGACTTCGCCTTATCGCGATTCACGCTTCAAGGTTGGCGAAGATATGTACGCTCTGTTAGGTATTCCCAGAGAGGATAAAGCCGCACGCTTTGCACACCTGGCGCGAAATTATACTTTTTTTGATGCCCCTGCCGGGCTGTTCTGTTTTGTTGACCGACAGATGGGCCCACCGCAATGGTCGGATCTGGGTATGTTCCTGCAAACATTTATGTTGTTAGCACAAGAAGCTGGCTTAGATACCTGCGCTCAGGAAGCCTGGGCCATGCGCGCCAACAGCGTTCGGCACTTTGTTGGCGCGCCTGACAATCTGATGTTATTCTGCGGCATCGCGCTGGGTCATAAAAATCCAGATAAGCCCGTTAACAGCCTTGTTTCCGAACGCGCCCCGCTGGATCAGTGGGCTACCTTTGTTTGAGTTTGGACTGACAACCGGGCAGGTAACCAACACTGATAGTAGCTTTAGGTTCAAATACTGGTCTCTGTTTTATTCACCGCCAGCGTAGATGCGTATCAGGAGATTGAGAAACTCACGACTTTCATAAAGCGACTGCACTGGGACACGTTCATTTAAACCGTGGAAGCCCGATGTATTCGGATCAGCAAACATACCGCTGATACTGTAGGTTGGGATACCCGCCGGAGTAAGGAGTCGCCCATCGGTCCCGCCCGCCTGCATAAAAGGGATGACGGGAACCTGAGGCCACATCTGTTTGCTCACGGTTTCCATGGGTCCAACAATTTCAGGCGTTAGAGGCGGCGGCGGCGAAGTAGATTCCGGCGGATCTGCAAACGTGACCACAACGTCTGTATCGTTCACCACATCACTCAGAATCTGTCGCACTTCCTCTTGGGTCTGGCCTGGAAAAATTCGGCAGTTCACGTTCGCCCAGGCTCGCTGAGGCAATGCATTTGGGGCGTGTCCCGCATCCAGCATTGTGGCGACGCAGGTTGTATGCAGCATGGAATTAAAACTGGAATCAGCGGTGATTCGAGCCAACGCATCCGAATCAGGTGTTGCCTGCAGAATAGCCAACATGTCCTCTCCGGTCTGACCACCATTCAGCGCTGCCATGCGCTTGAAGTAAGCCCGCGTGGTGTCGTTGAAGGTGATCGGAAACTGATACTCCGCAATGCGCGTCAAAGCTGCAGCCAGTCTATTGATCGCGTTATCAGGCACAGGCCGCGAAGAATGGCCGCCAGGGTTGCGAACCTCCAGGTGGTAATCCTGGTAGGTTTTTTCGCCCGCCTGAATGCCATTGTATATCTTCTGACCATCAGCCCCGGCTACCGCAAAAGCACCTTCATTCAAGGCAAACTGGGCATCAATCAAATCTCTGTGATGCTCAAGCAGATAACGCACGCCATTGAAATTGTTAGGCGTTTCTTCTCCGCAGGTCAACGCGAGCTTAATTGTACGCTCAGGTTGAAAACCTGCTTGTTTCATCCGGATCAATACATCGATGAAGATCGCCGCCATAGCTTTGTCGTCAAAAGAGCCACGACCATAAAAGTAGCCGTCCTCCTCGATCAGCGTGAATGGATCTCGCGCCCAGTCGTCAGGATTCGCCTCCACCACATCGATGTGCGCCAGCAGCAAAATTGGTTCGAGACCTGCATCAAGACCAGGCAGGTGCGCAACCAGATTACCCTGAGTGGGCCAGTCTGCAGGCACGATGATGTGAATATCCTGCTCAGGCAAACCTGCCTCGCGCAGATGAACGGCCATGGCTTCAGCCGCCTTGGTGCAGCTTCCAACTGACAGGGTTGTATTGATTTCCACCAGCTCGCGATACAGTTCGCGGAAAGCGCTGAGTTCAGGATTAAGGGTTTCTGCCTGTGCCGCGCCAGACACAGCGCTCAAACATAGGGCAGACACCAGACTGTACAGTTTCCGCATTGTCATCTTCAACTGGACTTGGCAGTGCCGGCAACACACATAAGACCTGCCATTATTGCCATATTCTTAATGAAATTCTGCATTTCGTGAGCTTGCTGGATACCTTCTTCCATCGCCCAGAACGAGTGCATGAAGAGGCTGATCACCAGCGTCAAACCTGCCAGCACAAACGCAACCACCTGTGTTCGAATGCCAGCAGCAAGGCAGAAACCGCCACCAATCTGAATAATAATCGTCAGCACCAGCAGCACCGTAACCATTGGCACACCCTGATTGGCCATCGCCTCTGCAGTGCCTTCGAAACCCAACACTTTCATGATGCCTGGCACGATGAAATACAATCCAAGCAGTGCCCTGCCCGCCAGTAATAAGACCTTCTGGGCTAATTCGATTTGTGACCCCATATCCCTCTCCCCGTTTTAATATTGTGCACGCTTATGCTGCGTTACATATCTATCCAGTGCATTGGAAAATGCCTGCAACTCTTTTTTGCCATAGGCATCCGGCCCGCCGGACACCATGCCACTGTCGCGCAGCGATTCGCGCATATCACGCCGCTGCAGGTGATCCTTTATATTCTCTTTGCTGTAAAAAGTCCCCCGCGGATTAAGCGCGGCACCCTGCTTGGTAATCACCTCGTCAGCCAGCGGTATGTCAGCGGTGATCACCAGATCGTCTTTCTGCAGTCGCGCCACAATCTCATTGTCGGCCACATCGAAGCCACCGGGCACCTGGACCGATTTGATATAAGCAGAAGGTGGTGTCTTCAGGAACTGGTTGGCCACTAAAGTAGTCATCACCTGTGCGCGGTTTGCACACCGAAACAACACCTCTTTCACCGCACGCGGACAGGCATCTGCATCTACCCATATCTGCATCTAACAGGCCTAATCAGGCAGCAGAGCGAGTCTGCTGCTTGTCTTCTTCCTGGGCATGCGGCTGTGGACCAAACTGCAACGCACCATCTTCCAGAGCCGCTTTACGAATAATTTTCTTATCCAGCTGATAGTCCTGGGTGTTGCGCCATGGGTCGCGATTACCCTGCCTGGGAAACAGGTGCATCATCCGAGACATATAGCCGGCAGAAAAATCTTCAATCCAGGGACCCAACTGCATGTCCTGGTCTTCTTCACGAAGCACGGGGGTTACCTGAGTGACACCAAGTTCATCCATATGGTTGATTACCCGACAGGCGAACTCTGAGGTCAGATCGGAACGCAACGTCCAGGAGGCATTAATGTAGCCGAATGTCTGCACTAGATTCGGGATGTCAGAGTACATCATACCTTTATAGGTGATTGTCTCAGGAAAGTTCACGGGCTCACCATCAACGCTGAAATGAGCGCCACCCAGCAACTGCAGGTTCAGACCCGTTGCGGTCACCAGAATGTCTGCCGGCAGGACATCTCCATTCTTCAATTGCACGCCGTCAGCAGTCAGACGATCTATCTGCTCAGTGACCACGGTTGTCTTGCCACTTTTAATCGAGTCAAACAGATCTGAATTTGGGATCAGGCACAGGCGTTGATCCCAGGGGTTATAAGACGGTGTGAAATGTTTATCCACATCATAATCAGGTCCCAGCGCCTGCTTTACCATCCCAACCAGCTGAGTTTTCATTTTCTCAGGCGCTGTACGCGAACGTTTATAGATGAAGTTCTGCATCCTGGTATTTTTAAACCGCGTAATCGCATAGGCCCATTTCTCCGGCAGAATTTTGCGCAGCACGTTGGCTATTTTGTCTTGATCAGGACGGGAAACAACATAGGTTGGCGAGCGTTGCAGCATTGTCACACTGGCTGCCTGATCCGCCATCGCAGGCACCAGCGTCATGGCGGTAGCACCACTGCCAATGACCACAACCTTCTTACCCGCATAATCGAGATCTTCAGGCCAATGCTGGGGATGGACTACGGTGCCCTGGTAATCGTGCATACCTTCAAATTCAGGGGTGAAGCCTTCGGCGTAGTTATAATAACCACTGCACATCAGCAGCATGCTGCAGGTAATTGTTCTGCTCTGACCATCCGTTTCAGCGGTGACCGTCCACTGCTGATCATCACTGGACCAGTCTGCGGCAGTAACCGTCTGATTAAATTGAATGTGGCGTTTTATATCATTCTCGGCAACGGTTTCATGCAGGTACTCTCGTATTGCAGGTCCATCAGCAATGGATTTTGCAGCACGCCAGGGTTTAAAGCTGTAACCCAGCGTATGCATATCACTATCGGAACGAATACCCGGATAGCGGAATAGATCCCACGTGCCACCCAGTGCAGCACGGCTTTCAAGGATCGTATAGGTTTTGCCGGGGCACAAAGTGTTCAGATGGTAGGCCGAACCAATACCAGAAATGCCGGCGCCTACAATCACTACATCAAAATCACTCACTCTGCTCTCCGGGGAAAAAACGGTCGCCGATTGTCGCAATTTTCGACCACCCAGGACAAGGCACCATTTTCAGGGCGCAATTCGAGCTGAGAAATGACAACCTGGTTAGGGAAGGTCCAACAGACGCAGATTATTCTCTGGATTCCGATCGATCAGCTTGTTGTAGGGATCAGCTCCGACGCGGTGGGGCAATTCACTCACCCGCAGCACAAGTTTGTTCACACCAGAAACCAGCATCTGGCGATCGAACACCAGCGGCGTTGGCAGCTGATAGTCTTCCAGCGAGTCTTGTGCCTTTGGGAATACCGCAATATCTACCTCGAGGTTCAACGGTGCATCCGTTTCCTCACCGGCGCCATCTGCATAAAACTTGCTGGCCTCAACGCTGAAAGAAATCTCCCACTCACCATCAACCTTTTCTACCGCGGCATCCGTAATGGAAAAATCGTAAAGCGTGATTTTTTCGAACAGGTCTGTGATCAACGCCTGATGTTCCGGCCCCGCTACCCGGCGAAATTCGGCAACAAGATCTGCCGCAGTCGGAAAAGGGCCGCTGACATAGGCGTACTTTTCTATAAATCGCCGCAAAGCCAGGTTCACCTGATCTTCGCCGATCACATCCTGCAAGGCATACATCACCAGGCTGCCTTTGCGGTAATGGATATAAGCCTGATTCTCTACCCGCACCAGGGGCAGCTCTTCGATAAGCTCACCGCCGCGGGCATTAAGATAGCTGTCCAGTTCATAACGCAGGAAGCGGCGCATTTTGTCTTCCCCGTACTCATGTTCCATGACCATTAAGGCGGAATACTGGGCCAGGGTCTCAACAATAACCGTCATCCCCTGCTGCGCCGCGCCAACAACCTGATGCGCCCACCACTGGTGAGCCAGCTCATGGGCGGTGACGTAAAATACGGGGTCCAACGCATGCGGATCAGTTAAATCCGCAACAAAGCCTATGGCTTCACTGAATGGAATGGTGTTCGGAAACGCCTGCGCAAAACTTGCATAGCGCGGAAATTCCAATATTCGGAACTGGCGATATTGATAAGGGGAAAACTCCCTGCCAAAGTAATCTAACGCCTTCTTTGTGCCTCGAATCATCGGCTCGATGTTAAAAGTGTGAGCGGGATGGTGGTAGACCTCGATCGCTATGCCGTTGTGAGTATCGCTGGCCACTTTATAGCGCGCAGACAGGAAGGAGAAAAACGGCCAGATGGGTGCATCCATTTCATAGGTGTAGATTCTGCGGCCGTCACGCTCAATCACGTCGCCAACCTGATAACCCGGAGCAACCGCAATCTGATCAGCTGACGTGCTGAACTGGGTGCGAAACTCGGTACGACGGGCCACGGAAAACTGCGACAGGTTCAGTGTTTGTGGATCGCCCAGTTCCGGCAGCCGCTGGATCGGCGGTAAATCATATTCCCGGCGGGTGGCCGGGTCGCCAATCTCAACACCGCGGTTGTAACCCAGACTTGGCATTATCTCGAAGTTGTTCACAAACGTGCCGTTCGCCACAACACGGGTGCTGGACCCGCCGCTCACGGCCAGTTCGTTTATATTGGCAAAGCCTTCATGATCCCAGGTCATGTCCCAGCTCATTTCGGCTTGACCACCGGGTGCCAGTGGCTGATCAAAGCGAAAAATATGTGTACCCGATGCTTCCCGATGCTCAACACGTTGGGCGCCACTGATCAGCAGTGCGTTGACATGAATAAATGGATGGGTGGATACCATGACCTCACTGATCTCAACATCATGGGTGTTCGCAAGCTGCGCGATGCCTTTACTTTCCAGACGCCGCTCTTCTGGATAAAGATCAACTGTACTGTCTACAGACAGCATCTCTGGACGTAGATCTAACTCGCGTCCTTTGTAGGTTTTCTCATACTCCGCCTGGCGTGCTTCAAGTTCATCCGTGGTGATGTAGGTATTGAGCACGTTTGTGTTGTAAAAAATCCAACCCCCGGTGCCAGTAAAAGCCACAATCGCAAACGCCAATGCCAGCCCGGTAAGCGGGGTGAAACGGACGGGGATGAGTGCTATGCGCTGCTTCAACTGATCTGTCACACCGCGCTGAAACAGCAGGTGGGCGAGAATAGCCAGCACCAGACAGAAGGCGCTCCAATAGGCGGTAAATGCGACCAGGGGCTGCCAGAAGTGACCAAAGCCGTTCATATCAGAATGTGGCGCAGGCGGCGTGCTGAAAAGGTACAAGCCGTGCTGAAAATCCAGGCTCGGCAATACCTGAAAGGCAAAGAAAACAGTAAGCATGGCCACCATGCCGATATATTTATTACCGGCTATGACCTGAATAAAAACCGCCAACACAGACAACATGAAGAAGCCACCACCCTGCACAAACAGCAGCGACTGCAGATACAGGGGTATTTCGAAATGTGTATAGCCTTGCGCCGCCTGGTAAATCATACCGGCTAACATCGCCAGCAGCAGCAAACAAGCCACCATAAACCACAGCGTAAATATCTTACTTGCCACCATCACCACATTGGGAAAGGGTGTTGCATCCAGCACGTCGGCTATTTTCGCCTGCCGCTCTCGATGCACAATTTCGCCTGCGTAATAAATGACGATCAGCAGAATGAAAAAAGTGTAGCTCCCACCAATCGCGCGCAACAAGCCACTGGTGACAGGCAGTAAAGGCGTGCCAACAAAGCGGCCAACGCTTTCGAAACCACCCCACACATTCAAAAGGGCGAAACCCAGAATCGCGTAGAAAGGCACGCTCCGATAGATGCCACTGAGGTCAATAGACACCTGCGAAAAAAACTGCCGCCAGGGTGTGGTGGCATTAAAAACCTGCTGAACAGACCTTGCTGCCAGCGCAGGTTGGGGTGTCGTTTTACGCGCGCGTTTGGATTTGCGACGTAACACACTCGGGTCAAGGCTGAAGCCATAGCGCCAGGTCGTAAACAGCAGCGCCAAAACGCCCAGCGACATCCATACAACGCGGTTGATCAGCAGATTTCCGCTCAACGGCACCAGGTCGACGTTGCGCTCGAACACCGTCCAATATCGAGAGACATCGCTGAAGGCGCTCTGACCGAACGGATCGATCATCGCCAGCAGATCCACCTGCTCAGGATCCACAAGGTTGCCAATGACAATATTAAGGACAATAAAGGCTACTGCACCAATGAAGGCGGCCAGCATGGATCGGGTCAGAGCCGCCAGGGTGAAGAACAGTGCGCTGGAGAAAAAGATGTTAGGAATGGTAACCACACCCAGCGCATACAGATACGGTGCAATGCTGAAAGCACCCACACGCTCGGGATCTAACCAGGGCGCCAGAGAGGCTAACAAAGTACCCAACATGGCCGCCATACAGACGCCTACCGCAAAGATGAAAGCGCCGAAAAAACGACCTAACAGAAAGCCACGAGGAGATACGCCAGTGGTAAAGAAGATTTCCGCAGTGCGGAATTCATAATCTCGAGTGATGGCCTGGGAAACGATGGCAACCGCGCCAAACATACCGATAATGCTGAAGAAAAACTGGGTATAAACAACGGTCCAGGCCGCATTCAGGTTAAGGCTGCGGGAGACCCCACCCAGGCTGACATTTTCTGAAGCCATTAACAGAAAGGCAAACAGAAAAAATGCGACGGACAAAACCAGAAACAGTGGCGAGCGCAGCTGATAGCGACACTCAAATTTGAAGACGTCTAACATAACCGGATCAGTCTACATCTACGCTTTCGCCCGCATCCCGCAGGGTGGCGAAGTAAACGTCTTCCAGATTAGGTTGCGCCGGCTCAAACCCCACCGGCGGTGTGTCACCAATGACTTTGACTTCTGTTCTGCCAGCGATGCGGCGTGTCGTTAGAATTTCCATTTCACTGCGAATACGATCAACTTCCGTACTGGCGACCACCACCCGCCACAAGCGCCCTTCCAGCTTTGTGATCAACTGCTGCGGCTCACCAGTCAGCAGGATGCTGCCACCCGCCATAATGGCCATGCGGGTACATAAATCCGCTACATCTTCGACAATGTGGGTAGACAGAATCACCACCACATCGTCACCGATACTGGCTAACAGATTATGAAAACGTCGCCGTTCAACGGGATCAAGGCCGGCGGTAGGCTCATCAACAATAACCAGTTCAGGACTACCGATCAGCGCCTGAGCGATGCCCATGCGTTGTTTCATGCCACCGGAAAAGGTTGTCATACTTTTTTTGCGTACATCCCACAAATTGGTTTGTACAAGTAACTGTTCTACCAGGTGTTTGCGTTCGGCTCGATCCGCCACCCCTTTCATCACTGCAATGTGATCAAGAAAGGTCAGTGGTGACATGCGCGGGTATACGCCAAACTCCTGCGGCAGATAACCCAGTTTGCGACGCAGCTGTTCGGGTTGCCCGGCAATATCAACGCCATCAAAAGTCACAGAGCCGGAATCACCGGTCTGTAGCGTTGCAATGGTACGCATCAACGAAGATTTGCCTGCACCGTTCGGTCCGAGCAGGCCAAACATGCCGCTGTCCACCTCAAGCGAAACATCATTCAGGGCCTGCACACCGTTGGCGTAGGTCTTGTTCAAGGCGTTGATCTTAAGCACGGCAGGTCCCGGTAATTATCATTGTTATCGTTTCTCAGGTCGCAAGTCCCGGCCATTTAGTTTGGCCCAGACTTACAGCTGTTTAGATGCGTGAGGCGCGTAAAAGGTTGCAGTGCATCGCTGAACGCAAAAAAAGGCCACTATCATGCAGAGGCAGCAAACTCGGAGTGTTCATCTCCAGCGATACGTGCGTGGTACATCACCCGCGGTTCATGCATCGGCCAGGGGGTGGCCTGATGCATCAGGCAACGATTATCCCACAGCACAGCATCCCCGACCTGCCAGTGGTGGTGGTATACCCGAGGTGGCTGGCAGGCAAACGTGTTCAACTCATCCAGCAAAGCTTCAGAATCCTGCTCGGATAACCCCGGTATACCGTAGGCATGACGCCCGATGAGCAGGCTCCGGCGACCGGTTTCCGGGTGAACCTTAACAAGCGGTCGCAACGGCGGCGAATCGTCATGAAACCCATAACCGCTATAGCTGCCATCTTCTTTGGGTTTGAACCCCATTTTCTGCTGGCTGTAGTAAAGCGAATGGCGGGCAGAAAGCCCGGCGATGCGAATTTTCATATCCTCAGTCAGCGCCTCATAAGCGGCCGTCATATCCGCCCAACCGGTTTCCCCGCCCTGGCTGGGTACGGTATGCGCGGTGAACACGGCGCCTTTTGCCTGCACCGGCATATAGGTGCTGTCGTGGTGCCAACCCATGTTGCCTTTCAAAATTTTCACCACGTCATCTTTATCGTCATGACGCACGCTTCCATCCTTGCGCACGTTACTGATTGGCACCAGATCAAATTCCAGGTTACCGAAGCGTTTTGCAAAGGCTGTCTGTGCTTCATTACTTAAATGCTGATCAGGGAAAATGAGCAAGGCATAGTCCAGCCAGACCCGGTAGAGCGCATCAAAATCAGCTTGATCCAGATCAGCCAGCGTGACCCCCGTAATCTTCGCTCCAAAACTGGCTGCCAGCGGTTCTACCTGAAAAGTTGTCTCTGACATCGCTTTCTATCCCCTGAAAGTTCGCTGTCAACGAGTATACGCCGCCATCAACCTCCGGCAAGCAACCCGAGCAGCCGTACAAGCCAAGTCTCGACTCCCTGTATCAAAGCGCTTAACCTACTGCTCCGATTTCAGGAGGTGGACCATGGCTGTAGGCCGATTAGAAAATAAAGTGGCTGTTATAACCGGCGGCGCAAGCGGCATCGGCAAAGCCTGTGCTTTGCGTTTTGCCGAAGAAGGTGCGGAAATTGTCATCAGCGACATCGGCGCCACCCGCTTAGAAGAAGCTGCCCAGGAAATACGTAACACCACCAACGGGCGCGTCACCTGGGTGGAGGCGGATGTCTGTTTTGCAGAGCAAATTGAAGATCTGATGCAGCAGGCCATCGACGAGTTTGGTCACATCGATGTGGTTGTGGCAGCCGCCGGTGTTTCCGGCGCCAACTACATCAGCGGCGGCGACAATGAATCGCTCGACCATATGATGATCGAACAGCCGCTGGAGCACTGGAACCGCGTTCTACAGATTAATCTGACTGGCGTCATGCTGACCAACAAATACGCCGCTCGACATATGATCGCCAAAGGTAATCCGGGCAGTATTGTGAATATTGCATCCAGCGCCGCACGCGTGGCTTTGCCTGGCGCTGTTGACTACTGTGTATCCAAAGCCGGCGTCGCCATGTTGACCAACGCGTTTGCCATGGAGATGCTGGAACACAACATACGCGTCAATGCGATTGGCCCAGGCTTTATTGAAACACCGATGACCCAGGGTATGCAGGCAGATCCAGAAGGTGCTCAAATGATGATCGGCATGACCCCGATGGGGCGTCTCGGTACACCACTGGAAATGGCCAATTGCGCCCTGTACCTGGCCTGTGATGAATCCAGCTACACCACCGGCAGCACGTTGTACCCGAACGGTGGGCTGTTCATCAGCTAACCACCTCTATTGGATCCCGTCAGCCAAGGCGCCATTGGCGCTGCGCTTGCGCAAAGCGCATCAAAACCGGAATATCTGCGGGCCTTTGCCGTGTTTGGTGGCCTGGCGGGTATGGCGCCAGACCTGGATGTATTCATCAATTCCAGCACTGATCCGCTGCTGTTTCTCGAATACCACCGTCATTTTACTCACGCCCTGATCTTTATCCCCATTGGCGCACTGATTGTTGCAGGCGTTCTCTTCAAGCTCTGGCGCCACCCGCTCACATTCAGGCAAGCCTACATTGCAGCTTTTCTGGGTTACGCCACACATGCTTTGTTAGATTCCTGTACCACTTACGGCACACAGTTATTGTGGCCCTTCAGTGATATGCGGGTTGCGTGGAATAACGTATCAGTGGTCGATCCACTATTCACTCTACCACTACTGATCTGCGTGGTTGTTTCGCTGCGCAAGCGGCGACCACAGATAGCCACCGTTGGCATGGTCTGGGCTTTGGCGTATTTATCATTCGGCGTCTGGCAACATGAGCGGGCGCGCGATGTAGCCTATGAAATGGCATTGGCTAAAGGTCATGTGCCCGGCCGATTGGAAGTGAAGCCCGGCTTTGCCAATCTCATTTTGTGGAAGTCAGTGTACGAGTTCGAAGGCAGGTACTATGTCGATGCGGTACGTGTGACGACTAAAAGACAGTGGTGCGAAGGCAGCTTTATCGACAAACTCAATGTCGGATATCACTACCCCGAGCTTGCCCCGACCAGTCAACAGGCCAGAGACATAGAAAGGTTCAGGTGGTTTTCAAATGATTATCTGGCACCCTATGAACCGCACGGGTTCATCATCGACATCCGTTACGCCGCAGTACCCAACGATATTAATCCGTTATGGGGCATCACCATAAATGAGGGCGCTGACGACAAACAACACGCACAGTTTGTGCCTAACCGACGCGTCGGGCCTGAACAGACTCAGGCCTTGTTGCAGCTGTTGCGCGGCGTCGGTTGCAGTGACGTAGCGGAGCAGATCTAAGCGGCAGCGCGACTGGCTCGACGACGGCGTGGTCGTCGGCGCTTCTGTCCCTGTTCCTGATTACTCTTCTGATTCTGCTGAACAATCCGCTCTACAGGTACAGTGACTTCAATATCAAGATCTTCCTGATTGATCGGCATACGGATCAGTTTTTCAACTGCGCGCAGACGCTTCACTTCGCTGGGATCAACTAAAGACCATGCACTACCTGCCGCGCCAGCTCTGCCGGTGCGACCAATTCGATGCACGTAACTTTCCGGCTCATGAGGTAATTCAAAGTTAACCACATGAGTCACACCATCAATATCAATACCGCGTGCAGCGATATCCGTTGCGACAAGCACCCAGGCATCACCGTTTTTAAACGCATCAAGCGCTCGGTTACGCGCGTTCTGAGATTTGTTGCCGTGAATGGCTTCAGCATTGATACCCGCATTACGTAACTTACGCGCCACTTTATCCGCGCCATGTTTCGTGCGAGTAAAAGCGATAGCTTTCTTAACGTCATCACGACGCAGGATGTGCTCTATCGCAGCCAGCTTATCCGGGGTTGCCACCATAGTTACCCGTTGGTCAATTTTCTCAACGGTGACTTGTTTTGGTGCAACTTCAACCCGCACGGGTTTGTGCAGCATTTCAGCAGCAAGTTCAGCCACCGCGTCCGGCATGGTTGCAGAAAACAACAGCGACTGACGCTTTCGAGGCGTTGCCGCGACGATTTTTTTAACGTCGCGAATAAATCCCATATCAAGCAGGCGGTCGGCTTCATCCAGGACTAAAAGTTCCACATGGCCCAGCTTCACGTGCTGCTGCCCTATCAGATCTAACAAGCGTCCAGGGGTTGCGATCAGAATGTCTAAGCCGTTACGCATCATTTTAACCTGTGGATTCTGACCCACACCGCCGTAAATGCAGCCGAGCCGCAGCGATGTCGCGGACGCAAATCCGGTCAATTCTTTGTGAATCTGAATGGCCAGCTCGCGCGTAGGCGCCAGCACCAGACCTCTGGGGTGTTTCGACTGTGCCGGGCTATTACCCGCATCCAGCCGTTGTAGCAGAGGCAAACCAAAAGCGGCTGTTTTGCCGGTGCCGGTTTGCGCTATGCCCAATACATCACGTCCTTCTATCAAAGCCGGAATGGCTTGATCCTGAATCTTCGAAGGGGTGACAAAACCTGCTGCATCTAGGGCAGCCTGAAACTTCTGGCTTACGCCAAGTTTCTGAAATAAATCGTTACTCAAAATTCTTTTTTCCTTTGACGTCAGCGAGGACCGCTGAGTCTTACTTAAGATCGGCAGCGTGCACCCTGAGGGTTTTACCTCAACAAGTCAAGCGACCAAAACACACCCCTGACAACTCGATACAAAAGCAAACAGAATTATGGGATATTCACAGCTATCACTTTTTGAATCAAAACGTCATGTCCAACCCTGCGGATCGCGATGTCCATGTGCTTGTCACCCCAACCGTAACCAGACTTAGTCAACGGCTGAAATCAGCCGGCCAGACCGTTGCTGTCGCAGAGTCGTCTACCGCAGGGCTGATTTCAGCCAAATTACTGGCGGTACCCGGAGCCAGCGCTTATTACGTCGGTGGCAGCGTGGTCTACACCCTTGCATCGCGCAAAGAACTGCTACAGATCCGTAAACAGGATGTAGAGGGACTCGAACCGCTAACGGAACCTATGGTGCAGGCTTTTGCAGAACATGCACGCAGGCAACTGGATACCACCTGGGCAATCGCGGAACTGGGCGTTGCCGGACCTGCCGGCGCACCTTACGGCCACCCAGCAGGCACCTGCGTACTCGCAGTGGCAGGCCCCGTAACATTAACCCACACCGTGATCAGCGGACACAATAACCGCGAAGCAAATATGTGGCACTTCGCCGAGCAGGCCATGGCTTTGTTAGATCAGGCATTAGAGAGCGCCGCGCAATGAAAATAGATGCTCCCGTTACCGCAGACATGCACAAAATTGCAGCTCAAGCTGCAGCGCTTGAGTCGCTTGGCTACGACGGCATACGCCTGGCGGAACTCAATCATGACCCGTTTTTACCGCTGACCCTGGCGGCGGCGAACACTCAGCGGATTGAACTGGTGACATCCGTCGCTGTTGCGTTTTCACGCAACCCGATGACTATGGCGCAGCTGGCCCATGATCTGAACAGCTTCTCCAACGGCCGCCTGATCCTCGGAATTGGCTCACAGGTAAAACCTCATATCGAGCGGCGGTTCAGCATGCCCTGGCACAAAGCCGCCGCACAAATGCGTGAATTCATTGAAGCGATGAATGCAATCTACGACTGCTGGTATGACGGCAAACGTCTGGACTATCAGGGTGAGTACTATCAGCACAATTTAATGCCAGCAACGTTCACGCCCGACAACGTTTCTGGTCCGCGGCCTAAAATAGTCCTGTCAGCAACCGGACCATTGATGACCCAGGTAGCTGCAGAAATAGCTGATGGCATGATCATGCATCCGTTCTCATCCGAAAAATATATGACTGAAGTCACCTTACCGGCAATTGAGAACGGGCTGAACAACAGTGGCAGAAATTTATCTGACTTTGTGCTGGACTATGCGCCGATGATCGCCACAGGTACCAGCGAAGAAGCCATCGACAAAGCGGTCAACGTACTGCGCGGGCGCATCGCTTTTTATGGCTGTACGGTGGCGTACAAACCTGTACTTGAAATCCACGGCTGGGGTGATTTACAGGATGAGCTGATTGTCCTGAACCGCCATCATCGCACAAATGAAATGGCTGCGTTGATCAGCGATGAGATGGTGAACACCATTGGCATTGTTGGCACGCCAGAGGACGTCGTGGCACAGATGAAGAGCCGTTTTGCCAACCTCATCAGCCGAACCAGCTTCCATGTGCCCGATCTTCCAGCAGACCAGCTCAGCGAGTTGCTGAGCTGCCTTAAATCTTAGCCATCGTTGATACGCTGACGACAGACAATAGCGGCGCCAAGCAACCCGGCACCCAAAACCAACCCGAGCCAGAACGACAATTGCGCAAAGCTCGAAAATGGTGCGGTCAGGTCAACCGCGGATGACAAGCTGGTGTTATACATCTGCGCAAGATGGTGGCTCATCGTCTGTGAAAGATGATTGCTGCCAAAAAACAACCTTTCTAAAAGAGTGACAACCCAGGGTGCACCCAGCGCAATCAAGGTTGGTAATCGTTTGGCCCAGGAGGAGACAAACATAATCCAGCCAGCCACGGGCAGTAACCATAAGCCTAGAAAAACAAAGCGCAGTACGAGGTCAAACGGACGCAGCCAGATCTGACTGGCGCTCCAGATCCGCCCTGCCATGCCCTGTTCAACAAACGCGGAAATAAAGGCAACAGCAAAAAACTGCGCCAGGCAGATCGCCGCAATGGTTGTTATCGGCGCCACCCAGCTGACAAACACCCACTTACTCAACACCGTCTCGACATCACTGACCGGCATGGATTTCCAGAACAGGATGGATTGATCTTTACGCTCGTCGTACAGGCAGTTAATCAGAACAGAGAACGCAAGAATGAAGAACACCAGATTAAAGGGCGCCGCTACCGACGACAGCGCCCTGGTAATTTTCTCCCGCAACTCGGCGTCTGTGCTGCCCGCCGCATCCAGCGTCATGGCTGCCAACATTTCCAGCCCGCTTAACTCGCTGGCATCCCGTCCATCTATGCGTTGCTCCAGTTCCTGTCGATCAAGACTGTTCATGTCTGCCTCGACCTGAGGGTCAACAAACAGACTGAATAGACCCACAAGCAGCAGAACGCCTAAAATCGCGCCAGGTGCCCATAGAAAACCGTTTGCATGTTCACGCCATTCGCGCATCAGTAAACCGATAAACTTAGACATGTTGGCTCTCCACTACAGCCACAAACAATTCCGCCAGATTGGGTGTGCTGACCTCTCCGTATGGCTGTAACTCAGCTTTCCCCGTGTTGTTGTAGATAGATTCAGTGCCCGCAAGAGTTGGGCGCGTCTGCAGCGCTCCCGGCGGTAAGGTCTGATTCGGTGCGCTGGTCAGTTTGAAAAATTTATCGGGCAGATCATCCATGGCCAGGCTGAGACAGGCTTTACCGCGGTGTATAAACACCACGTCTGTCAGAATATGTTCCACCTCACGCACCTCATGCGTGGTGATCAGGATACTGCGCTGTTCATTGAAATAGTCGTTCAGCACGCCATCGTAGAACTGTTGGCGGTAAAGAATATCCAACCCCAGGGTTGGCTCATCCAGTACCAGCAGCTGTGCACCTATGGCCAGCACTATGGCCAGATGCAGCTGTACGTGCATGCCTTTAGACAGCACTTTGATCTTCTTCTCCAACTGAACGTCGGTTCTGGCCAGGGCTTCGCGAGCACGCGCGATATCAAAGCTGGGGTTCACTGCATCTACGTACTCAAGCAGATCTTTGACCCGCATCCAGCGAGGCAGAATACCCGTGTCCGCGATATACGCCACATGCTGCATCAGCGCCGCGCGTTGTGCTTTAGGTTGAAAAGACAGGACATCCAGGTGACCTGCATCTAAAGCTGCCATACCCAGAATCGATTTAAGCGCGGTGGTTTTGCCTGATCCATTTGGCCCGATCAACCCGACAATGCGGCCCGGTTCAACCTGCAGATCGAAACCATCCAGTGCATGTACGTTGCCAAATTTTTTACGCAAACCCTGCGCAGAAATGACAGACATTACTTATCTCCCAACAATAATTGCTCAATATTCAAACCAAGCATTTCAATACGATGTTTTATCTGCGGCCACTCCTGAGTGAGAAAAGCCTCACGCTCCTGGGCCAGGGCTGCAGCGCGCGCGCCGGTATTCACATACATGCCTACGCCTCGACGCTTTTCCAGCAGGCCTTCGTCGACCAGAATCTGATACGCCTTGGAGACGGTCAGCGGATTGATCTTTTCTTCTGCCGCTACCTGTCGTACAGACGGTACCGGCTCACCTTCGTCCAACGATCCACTGATGATGCGTTGCAGAACCATGCTCCGTAGCTGCAGATAAATTGGCGTGCGTTCGTCCCAGTCCGTCATGGTGTTATATATATGTAATACACCAGTACACCGTATCCAGACTTGTCCTCTTCGTCAACCCGGATCGCAAACAAATTTCAAATCAGTGGCCCTCAGATCTGGTCTGACAGACTATCGAGACGATTTACAGTTGGTGATACCCTTTACGCTGATTACTTACACAGACCAAGGTAGTGGTAAATCCAATGAGTGAGATAGACATTGAAGCGTTTCGCAGCGAAGTAAGGCAGTTTTTAGCTGAAGCACTCACACCAGACCTGCTCAAAGCAGCATCCCTGGGTTTTGGCATCAGTCGCAAAGAAGGTACAGCCTGGCATCAGGCGTTGTACAAAAAAGGCTGGATCGCACCGGACTGGCCCGTTGAACAAGGCGGCACGGGCTGGACGTCCACGCAGCAACATGTGTTCTCCGAAGAGCTCGCGCTGGCAGGCGCACCGATGCTGATGCCTTTTGGCTTGGGCATGGTTGGCCCAGTCATCTACACGTTCGGCACACCTGAGCAACAGGCCCAACACCTGCCCGGCATCCTGGATGGTTCTGTGTGGTGGTGTCAGGGGTATTCAGAGCCCGGCAGCGGTTCAGATCTGGCATCTTTAAAAACCAGTGCGGTGCGCGATGGCGACCACTACGTAGTGAACGGTCAGAAAATCTGGACCACAAACGCCCACAAGGCAGACTGGATATTTGCCCTGGTCCGCACCGACCCGGACTGCAAACCTCAGCAGGGGATCAGTTTTCTGCTCATCGATATGAGCACACCAGGCTTAGAGGTCAAACCGATTGTGTCCATCGACGGCATGCACCACTTGAACGAGGTGTACTTTACCGACGTGCGGGTGCCGGTGGAAAACCTCATCGGCGAAGAAAACAAAGGCTGGACCTACGCAAAATTCCTGTTGGGCCATGAGCGCAGTGGTATTGCCGGGGTTGCTCGCTCCAAACGAGCTGTGGCTGCACTTAAAGACATCAGTCAACAGGAGTCCGACAGCACTGGCGCGCCCCTTGCGCATAGCTCCGAGTTCATGTCTCGCCTGGCCGCCGCGGAGATTAAACTGCACGCGCTGGAGCAGGCGGAAAGCCGTGTTGTGGCGCAGGTTGAAGCTGGCGGCAATCCGGGTGCTGCTGCATCTATGCTGAAGATTCTGGGCACTGAGATTCAACAGGACCTGCAGACTCTGCGGGTTGAGGCTGTTGCTCATTATGCGCTGCCGTTTGATATCGCACTCATTCGTGGCGAAAGCAATGAGCCACCACCCGGGCCAGAATACGCTGTCAGTGCGGTTGCGGATCTGAACTTTGGTCGGGCTGCATCAATCTATGGTGGGTCGAACGAAATTCAGCGCAACGTTATCGCTAAAGCTGTGCTGGGTTTATAGCACCGAGTACTAAACTGCCTCACAGTAGATACTTGTCAGGCAGTGCACACGCCTGCTAAGCGGCAGGCGCGATCGCCTCTTCAATGCCTTTCAGGGTTGCATCAATCTGCCGGCTGACAGCGGTACAGTTGCGAATCATTTCAATCTTCGGCCAGGTAGCCTCCTCGCCAGCCCGTATCAGATCAAAGGTCTCCTGAGGGGTTAACACCGACAACAATTTCGCCGGGTTCACGAACCGCTGTGTCGGTGAAATATTGATATCTGCCGTATAAGACTGAGTCAACAAACCAAACCACATGCGCGTCATGATGTTAGCCGGATATACGTTGCGGACAAGATTCATGGTGAACGGATATACCGCCTTGGACCAGTCTCGCATTGCACTCTGATACACAGACGACAGCTGCGAAAACAGCGACGTTGAATTTGGATCCTGCATCGTCCAGAGCACAAACGGATTTGTCTGACTGCTGATGAAGTGATTAACACCATATAAACGCGTCAATCTGCGCGCTGGCATATCGTGGGTAATCGAGCCATCAACCCACTTACGCGTCGCCACATAAGGTTTGCGCTCACCCGTTCGGGTTTTGGCGGCCAACGTAACGGCCGGGAAAACACCAGGAATGGCACAAGACGCCAGCACCGCTTCACGGATGCATGCGTTTGGCGAAATAATGGCATTCAATACCCGCGCGCGCTGGTTCACTGCAGCCGGTGCCACCGACACATTAATGTAGCGACCCGTTTCTTCGTAAGCCTCTTCAAAGGTCAGGTCCGGGATCAGAACTTCCAGCATGTCCACCACGTCCTGACGTTTGACGCGGTTTGAAGCCCGCTGCTCACCGCCGACTGACGTCATGGAGTTAATGATTTCATCGGTATTGAGCATCTGCTCCAGGCTGGCGTCATTCCGGGTACCCGCTACCGCTGCACAGATAGAGCCCGCGCTGGCACCGGAGATAATGTTAGGCAACAGACCCTGCTCGTTTAACGCTTTCACAACCCCGATATGGAACGGCCCCAGTGAACCCGCCCCGCTGAGCATCAGAGCTGTGCGGCCGAAACAATCCGACGCCCGCTTATAAAACGCGAACTTTTCCTTCAGGCTGATTTCGTCATCGGGGACAGCTTCCAGGTCCTGCAGAGCCAACACCATCTCATCGATGTATTGGGTGATTAAATTTTTGGTGCCAAACTTAGTACGCGTGTACAAAGCCGGCGAACCCATGCCTGCCATGTTGCCGTGGAAGCCTTCATGCATGTAAAACAGCAGACGCTGCACGTCCCCGGATGCGCGCACTTCGGCCAACTCATCGTACCGACGGCGGATTACACGATAGTCGTAGAGCGTGCTTTCATCTCGGGAGCGCCAGCTTTCAGCACCAGACAAACGATCTTTGTTCAGTGCAAATGTCTTCCACTCGTCATAATTTTCGAATTTTGCCGCTGCGCCCACTGACTACCTCTTTACCTAGATGCCTAATAGCCTGATTACCTGGCTGACTGGGTGACCGCGCGCTTAAACAGCCCGAATGGGCATGGATCAGCGCGACCTGTATCAACTTTAGCCGCTTAGCCACCTGTTTTGTAGCCACTTTTGTGCTGCAGATGTGATCTGCAGACAACAATCCGGTCGGGAAGAGCCAATAACATCCGCTTACGTAGATGCCACGGTGGGTAAATTGCCCTGTCGGGTTATACACTGCGACCATTATGAGGGCATCAACGTGACACAGAATCGCTTCTTTCAAGGCTTATCTTCATTTCGCACACTGGCAACACAGCTGGTTGGCTTTGCGGTTATCAGTTTCGTCTGGATCAGTGCCAGTGCAGAAACCTCCGTTGAACGTGGGGAGTATCTGACCAATATTCTCGGCTGTGGCGGATGCCACACCGAAGGCGCGCTGCTGGGGAACCCCACCGGGCAGTGGCTTGCCGGCTCAAGAATTGGCATCGCCTACACCAAAGATCTGGACGATGTCAGCCCGGGCATCGTCTTCCCCGGCAACCTGACCGCTGACAAAGACACAGGCCTGGGTCGCTGGAGCAGAGATGAGATCAAAACATTTCTACTCACCGGTATGGATCACTACGGCAAACAGGCCACAACGGTGATGCCGTGGCCCAACTATGCATATCTGCGTGATCAGGACTTAGACGATATCGCCAGTTTCCTGAAGCAGCTGGCGCCAATAAAACAGCCTATCCCTGAATCTGTAGTGGCTGGCGCTCCGGTGCGCAATGCATTTGTCCGCATAGGGGTTTACCTATTTGTGCCTGAAGATGATACTGAAGGAAGACCCACCCCCCCAGGAGACCTCAATGACTAGATACAGACACATCCTCGCCGCCGTAGATGTCACTGAAGAGGCAGAAACCGTATTAATGCGTGCAAAACAGGCCGCAGATGATCACGGCGCAAAGCTCAGTGTTGTGACTATTGTGCGACCCCTGACTCAGGCATATACGGGTATCGAAGTGGCTGGTCTGGCTGCAGCGGCGATGAATTTTGAAGGTGAAGCGCGTGCCAGTGTGGAGAAATCACTTGGCGAGCTGTGCACTAAATTTGCTGTCGAAAGCACTGATCGCCACGTCCAGTTCGGCGTACCGGCAACAGAGATCAAACAAACCGCTGAACAGCTTGGCGCAGACCTGATTGTTATGGGCTCACACGGCAAACACGGCCTTGGCTTGCTGCTGGGATCTACCGCCAATGCTGTGTTACACGGTGCAACATCTGACGTACTGACAATCCGGGTCTGACACAGGTAAACATCTTTATCCACATCGGTTAACCTGCGACCTGCTTTTTCCTCTGGCAGGTTCGCATGAGCGACGTTAACAAAGACTCAAACAATACCCTGGTCTTCAGATTCCTCGGCGCTGTCGAGCGGCTTGGCAATCGCCTGCCGGATCCGGCGATGCTGTTCCTTATGGCTATGCTCCTGGTGTGGCTGCTGTCCTGGTTGTTTGCGGGTTATGGTTTTTCTGTACCTGCCCTGGATGGTGCACGCGAACTGAATGTAGAGAATCAGCTCAGCGGTAGTGCGCTGGCCACATTTTTAGCCACCATGGTTAAAACCTTTACCAGTTTTGCTCCGCTGGGTGTGGTGCTGGTTGCGATGCTAGGCGTAGGTGTTGCCGAACATACCGGCTTCATTAACGCCGGCCTGAAGTCTTTGCTCTCCATTACCCCGGCCAAACTCCTGACCCCTATGTTGCTGCTGGTGGCTATTGTGAGCCACACCGCGGCGGATGCAGGCTATGTGTTAGTGATTCCATTAGGCGGAATTATTTTCTACGCGGCCGGGCGTCACCCCCTGGCGGGCATTGCCTGCGCATTTGCCGGCGTATCCGGCGGTTTCAGCGCCAACTTCATACCATCAGGCATCGACCCGCTGTTACAGGGCTTTACCCAACAGGCCGCGCAGATCATTGACCCCAGCCGTGAGGTCAACCCACTGTCAAACTGGCTGTTCACCAGTGTGTCCTGCCTGTTTGTCATTGCTGTTGGCTGGTTTCTCACCGACAAAGTCATTGAGCCCAGGCTGAAGGGCACAGATATCGACGGCGATGATCTGGAAGCGACCCGCATGGACCCGTTAACCCCCAGAGAGCGCCGCGGTCTTTGGGCTGGCAGTGCCGCCATGTTCATCGGCATTGTTCTGCTGGTATGGGCGGCATACCCGATAGATTCCCCCTTACGTGCACCCAATGGCGATATCACCGCATTTTCCGCACCCATCATGCAGTCCATCGTACCGCTGATATTTCTGCTGTTTATCATTCCAGGCACTGTGTACGGGTATGTTGCCGGCACGGTCAGCAACCATCGCGACATCATCGCTGGCATGACTAACAGCATGAACACCATGGCGTACTACCTGGTCATGATATTTTTCTGCGCACAATTCACTTACGCGTTCAGCCAATCCAATCTGGGTGCGCTGTTGGCTGTGCAGGGTGCAGATGTTCTGCAGGCGCTGGCATTACCCGGCTCGGTCACTCTGCTGGGTATCATTTTTTTAACCGCATTTGTTAACTTGTTAGTCGGTTCGGCATCAGGCAAGTGGGCACTGCTGGCCCCTATATTCATACCGATTCTCATGCAGGTTGGATTGTCACCCGAACTGACCCAGGCAGCCTATCGGGTGGGTGATTCGTCAACCAACATCATTACGCCGCTGATGCCGTACTTCCCTCTGGTTGTTGCTTACTGCCAGCGCTGGGTGAAAAACACCGGCATTGGCACGGTCACCGCGATGATGCTGCCCTATTCGGCCGCACTTCTGGTCGGTTGGAGTATCTTTCTACTCATTTACTGGTGGCTCGGTATACCCCTGGGTTTAGCGTCTTCCTACGTTTACCCCTGAGGTTATCGAATCCGCTGATCCATTCAGCTGAGGTTTAGATAACGGCTCATATCATGCTCCGATAAAGATCGGAGCTATGACATGTACAAATACGCTGGGTTGTTAATTCTTGCTGCAACCATTCTGACTCACAGCTCAGCCTTTGCGGCTGCTCCGCCGACGGCTTACCCGAGCTTTGCAGACGTGATTGCCAGCAAACCCATCTATTCGCAGGAAACCGTTTATACACCTGTTAAACGCTGCACCTGGGAGACACTGCCATCAATAGAACGCTACAACAGAAACGGCTATGAACGCAGGGTTATAGAACGACGCGCCAAACGCTGCCGTTATGAAAACAAGCCCAATGTTCGCAAACAAGTCATCGGGTACGAAGTCACCCTGCGCTACCAGGGCAGCGTATTTACGCGCACAACCGCGACCAAACCTGGCAATCGCATGCCGATTACCGTTGAAATTGCCACTTTGCACTGAATTAGTCCGTCGTTCAGGACACATTCAGAAAGACAGCTCTAAGGTCAGACATCATTATCGGAGGACACCAATGAACAGTCGCCTATTTGCCAGCCTATTTCTAACGGGCATTCTCTGCTGCGGAGCAGCTTCGGCATCCCCAACGGGACCCGTCATAAAACTTTTCCCCACCACGGTTCTGGAGGACATACGGGAGACCAGCAGTGTCGCTGCCGAACTGGAAAACAATCTCCAGGAGATTATCGCCAGACTCGATATGCAGCAGAAGTTATACAGTGAAAGCCTGTGTGATGGCGCGGATGGCGACCAGGGTTGTACCCGCATGGCCAGGCAGCTGGGAGAAACTTACCTGGAAATGCTCAACGCCATGGGTGAACGCCTGCCGGAAATGGAACGCGCGGTAAACAATACGCGCAGCAGCCTGGAAAAAAGACTGCGCCAGGAACTGGGGCAGCGCACTACCCCAACCACCCTGCAGGAACAGTTACTGGGCCAGCAAACGGCTACCGGCCGCGCCGATCAACCCGCATTACGCGGCAGATCCGGAGTGCGCTTATCTGATCGATTCAAACAGTACTACGACCTCGTGGCGACCCACAAAAACGGTCCCAGCAAATCTCTGGCGGTGGTTGCCGCAGACATCTACCTCGACATGGAAGAGGCCTCAGTGCTGATTGCTGCAACACAGCAGGAGATCGGTCGTGCAGCCCTGATGGAGCAGCTTAATCAGTCATTTGGACTGATCACGCCGGAAATGTCCGCAGTTGTGGGCGGTGTAAAAGAAATTCTCTTCGGAGAGTCCTCTAACGCCACACCTATAGCCTCCCCCCCTTACGAAATTGGTCAGACAGAATTTGTCAGCCCGTTAGAAATGTAGTCGGAGAATAAGATATGACACGTATAACTCTTTTAGCACTTTTAACACTTACAGCCGCCGCCGGCTGCACAACCACCAATGTCAGCAGCCATTGCTCCATGGCACTGCCCGGCAACCTCGATCGAGCCATCGGTGAGGTTGAACAGCGCCTGGCCAGCGGCTGCGAATACCAGTTCGACAGCTATTTTCAGCAGCTGTTGTCGCTTGCTGAACAGAATCCGGACAGCGAAAACAAAATACGCTTCAGTGACCACCTGGTCCGCGTCAATGAAATGGGCGTCATCAGTCAGCGTCAGGCACGCGAGTACTACAACCGCTACTTCAACGTAAAGTTTGTCTCTCTCAGCGGCGACTACAATACCTGCGCGCAGGCCTGTCCCGTGCAGGGGGAAGTGATGTCGAACATGCGCAACGAATTGCGTGACAAGCAGGTAGGCCTGTTGAAAGCCAGCGACGATAAAGCGGCTTACTATCGTGCGGATCACCTGCTCAAGGAGGCGGACCTGGTACTCGAAGCCACATGCCGCGCCTGTGCGGCAGGCTCAACAAACGCGGCAGGCAGCCGATAAAATGGATGGCGGTCTGCGGCAGTTCTGCTATGGCACGGGGGTAGGCATTAGTCTTACCGGGCTTGCCCTTTACGGCCAGGATCGCCTTTCACCATCGGGTATCGATTCGGTGGGTAACTGGCTGCAGATCAATCTCGGACATTCCATCTGGTTATTCGCCGCGGTTGCCGTGCTCTTTATTTTCACTCTGATAAAACTCTCCGCGCAGCTTCGTAGCAATCTGGACGAGCCCGACGATACGTCACGCATCTCTGCGTTGGATCAGATGTTAGATGTCTGGACTCAGGTGTTTATCGGCATTGGCGTGGTCTGGACAGCTGTTGGTATGCGTGCGGCGCTGCAATACGCCCTGGGTGAGCCTGACACAGCATTGGCGGACAGCGCTGACAACGTCCTTCGTAAACTTGTTGATGGCGGCATCCTGCTGGCGCTGACCACAACTATCGTCGGCGCGGTGGGTGGTTATCTGATGCGGGTTTGCAAAACCATCACCCTGGGGGCTTCGCTGCAACAGTACTACGACCAGCTGGAACGCCGCGACATTGCCGAGTTGGTCGCCGCAACACAGCGCATAGAACAGCAACTTCAGCCCAGCCCACCCGTCAACCAGAACATCACGCGTATGCCCGGGGCACAGCTGTGAGGAGACGACGCCTGGCCCATATGGAGGAAGACAGCCTGCAGGCGGATGTGATGCGTTTCATGGCTATCGTCGCATTCTGCCTGATCGCCATCCTGGCGATGGTGCGGAACAGCCCGGGGGTTGAAGCAAGGGTTACAAAAGAAAGCGTCGTTCAGGTAGCCGAAATAGAACCTGAAGAAATGGCCAGAGTTGAAGCGCTGCCAGTCAGAGCATCCGCGGTTGAACCTGCCATAGAGATTGTTGTTGAGTCACAGAACACAACCGCGGTCGCTTTACCTGAACCCAAGCCGGAACCTCAGCCCGAGCCCGAGCCCGAGCCTGAGCCTGAGCCTGATCCTGAGCCTGAGCCTGAGCCTGAGCCTGAGCAGCGATCTTCGCCAGCTGATACCTCAGAGGGTTTAACCCTGGCTTTTGCCAGCGAAGCAGACTTCATGCGGTTGATCAGCAAAGGTCGTATTACTTTGTATGCCTACACCGGGCAGTCCTTTCTGACCACATCGGATACCTATTCTTTCCATAAAACCGATGCGCCAGCGCAGCTTTATGAAATCGACAGACACACCATTCCGGCGCATGTCATCGACGCTGCAGAACGTCAGGAGATAGAAGGCCTGCAGTGGGGTGTAGGGCTTAGCACAAGAATAGAAAAACAGATTTCCCGCTACGTTGAAGCCAACGTCAGTGGGCAACTTCACATAGATCGATATGAACAGGTGTTGCATGTTGAAGCGGGTTAGCATTCTTCTACTGCTGCTGACCTGCAGCAATGCCTGGTCTGCGCGCAGCACACAGCCAACTGATCTTAACCGTTGGCTGAACAGTGAGGCTGCGCCACAGCTGGCAGAAAAACTTGCCCGGCACCCGAAATTCAAGGGTTCAAACGTCGCCTTTGCGCCGGCGCACCACAACCAGCTGACCGCAGTTAAAAACCAGCTTTATCAGAACATTGAACAGGTACTGTCGCACAATATTCTGTCTGCGGGTGGCAACAATATTGTCTCTGCTACCAGCAGCAATAACTGCATGCGTCCCGACCACAGCGCTGCCTACATCGTTGGAATCGCGATCAGCGCAGCAAACAACAACGCATACACCGTCCAGATCAAAGTCCTGGATCACGCTCTGGGTGTGTGGGTGAGTGGCATAAGTTACCGCTGGCAGGGTCAGCTGTCTCGCTCACAAACAGCCCTTTTGAAACGACCGGCTGACAATATTGCCAACGGCTCTGTAGCCGCTCCGTTTACATCACACCAGCAGCAGCAGACCGTCAGCCATCTGCTGCAGCAGATTCAATGCGCGTTACCTGCGGGTGTGGATGGGCTCATCCATCTGCGCAACAACCATTCCGCCGGATTGGAAGCGGCAGCTGCAAACATCAGCCGTTCAGTACAACAGAAATTAAGCACCCGTCCGCAGTGGATTTTCACCACCCGGCAAAGCGAAGCCACCTGGATAATGGAACTCCGCCAGGAACAGGCATCCCAACAGTTGCCTCCCCAATGGGTCATTCTGATCACACCTGCAGACAACCCGACAACGCCTCGAATAGTTGCCAGCAGCTACATTCAGGGCGGCAGAGCTGAAACTACCACACCAGAACAAACAGACCGCAAACCAGCAGAGGAAACCCTTGCCGAATACCCGGGTACTGCTGAAGAACCCACCACTTCTGGCACCCAGCCGCTGTTAGGAAAATTGTCCTGGAAACCCAGCAGAAGCTGCACCAACAAACAACGTGATTGCGTGAAAGTGACTTTTGATCTGCAGGCAGACGCATATGTGATGCTGTTTCGCACCCACAACCGACGGCTCAAACCAGCCAGTTGTGAGGGTGTTACCCGCATCAGGAAAAGCGGTGAACTGCGTTATCAGATCAGCCTGCCCAGACGCAGCCCACTGCCAACAGGGATCTATGCCGTGGCAACCCAGGATAAAAATGCATTTCGGCAATTGCGCAAGACCATACACGCAGCGCCAGGCGCTTGTCAGGGCGGCAACGCTCAGGCCAGCAACTGGCTTACCTCAGCAGAACGGTCTCTGGCCAGCCAGGACGACTTCGATTGGCAGAGCCTGCATCTACAGAATGTGCACGGCACCTCACGTGAAGTCAGGGAGGCCCGATGAAATTCATTCTGGGACTGATCTTTGGCATGGCGGTCACTTTTACAGGCGCATGGTTTTTAACACAGGCGCAGGGTGCTGAACCTGCCGAACAACCCGTTCCGCTGGAGATACCAGAGCTTGTCCAGCACCGTGCCACCGAAACACTTGTGTCTGACAACGACGACAAACCCACGGCACCTGAAGAAGACGTGCTGGAGACGCCTTCAGCCACAACCGATTTTCCAGCGGAGATCGAAGCGGCTGAGCTCATGGCACCAATAGAGCACTCAGAGCAAGGGAGTGAACCCGTATGGACACTGTTCCACAGCGAAGCATCCGCCAGCGGTTTTGCCAACTACCTGTCTACCAGCCTCGACCACCCGTTTGAGGTGACCAGACTGGGACCTGCTCAGTACCAGGTGTCATACAGCTACACCAATGCAGAGCAGGCGCAGGCGCTGGCGGCGAAGATCAATACGATCACGGGGGGGAAATGAAATCAGGGCGCACAATATCAAGCTTTCTTATGTGTGTGTGCATACTCGTTAGTATCAGCATCTCGCAAGTCGCGCTGGCCAAAGCTTCACAGCGTTATCCTTACCAGTCCTGTTTCGAAGTGTCCGCGGCCATGCACAAAGTGCCACTGGATCTGTTGCTGGCGGTAGCGGCGACAGAAAGCAACTGGGATGCAGACGCCGTATCTAAAGCCAACGCACATGGCATTATGCAGATCCAATGGCCCGGCACCGCAAAACACCTTGGCGTTAAGCGGCTGGGCGAACTGTACAATCCCTGCCTCAACATCAGTCTGGGCGCAAAGTATCTCAACGAGTTGCTGCACGCTTTTGACAAAGATATTCAAAGCGCGCTTGCCGCGTACAACTATGGACCAACGCGCATAAGTGGCAGCAAAACCCTACCTGACGGCGCCAAACGCTATGCTGCAAAAGTACTGACCAAACAAAGCCGCATAAAAAAGGGTTTGGTGCCGAAGGCGCTGCAACCGAAAAGTTATCAGAGCCTGGTGATATTTGATTCGCGCGTTCGAGCTGACCGCCTGGCCGCGCACCTGAATGCCGACATCCAGGGTGCCACCGTTGATGTGGTCAAAACACGCAAGCCAACCAGGGGTTATGCCGTAGTGCTGAACGTCGGCAATGCAGGCCTCACCGTGCAGGATCATGTCATGCTACGTAATATGGGATGGGCGCTACCGTGATTCAGACAGGCACTGTCCGCATTAAATGGCTTACCCTTCTACTACTGGGCTTACTCACCCTGGCTCCTGCAGCGGGCAAAGTTTACGCCGCAACCCCGTCAATAGTTGAGAAAACCGTTTACGCTCAGGTGCTCAAGGTAAAGCCACTGTATCGCCCACTCGCACAATGCACGAGCACAGATAAACCGCCACAGGCCCAGGGATTAATGGCACAACTACGCTGGGATTTTGAGCATCAGTGTGCAGATATCCAAGCCGAGGCGCGGACTTATGAGGTGACGTATACCTGGGACGGCAGAACCTACACAGAAAAACTCAGCTACGATCCAGGCAAACACATACCGCTACAGGTACGGTACCGCTAGAAACGAAGAAGCGGTCCGCTAGAAACGAAGAAGCGGTCCGCTAGAAACGAAGAAGCGGTCCGCCAACCGCCAAGATATTGGACAAAACCTGAACAAACCGCGATAGTCAGCGTCGGACACTGTGGAGCGGGAACTTGCGACTTTCAACAACTGACGCGTCATTTCTATACATGGAATCGGCCAGCGGCCCCATGCATATATCTTCCATCAATATTCTGGAAGGCGAACTGGCTTTTGAAGAAGTCTTTAAACACTTCAACGATCGGCTGCATCTGCTGCCGGCGTATCGACGTAAGCTTGCTCAGGTACCTCTCAACCTTGCCCACCCTGAATGGGTGGACGATCCTGACTTTGATCTGGCCAACCATCTGATTCATTCGCCGCTCCCAGCCGGTACTGCGCTGGAAGATGCTGTAGACGCAGCGGTCTCTATCAACGAACCCATGCTCGATCGCAGCAAACCATTGTGGATGACCTACATCATTACCGGAGTACCTGACAAAACGTTGGTGCTGCATGCAACCCATCACTGCATGATTGATGGTGCATCTGGTGTCGAGTTGCTGGCCATCATTTACGATTTTGATGCCAAAGGCGATCCCGTCAAACCACCCAAAGAGAGCTGGCACCCGCAACAGCCACCGGGAGCCCGGGAACTATTTAGCAGTGCGCTGTCCGAAAATCTGAAAGACCTTGCGGAAACAGATTGGAGCCGCGTGTTCCGCACCAGCAGTGATCAAACTGATCTTATGCAGCGAGCCACAAAAGTCATGTCTGACTTTATTACCAAGCCGGTTGTTACAGCACCGTTCAACGCCGGTGTTGTTGGACCCAGGCGCAGGCTGGCGTGGATGAAGCAATCCTTTAGCGAGATCAGAGAGATCCGTCGTGCATTGGGCGGCACTATTAATGATGTTGTTCTGACTTTGGTTTCAGAAGCCGTTGCCAACTACCTGAAAGATCACGAGGAAAAAACCGAAGATCAATACATGCGCATCATGTGTCCAGTGAATGTACGCACAGAAAGCCAGCAAGGCGCGTTGGGCAATCAGGTTTCCGCGATTTTCCCGGTTTTGCCTGCCTGGCCCATGGCAGCGGATCAACGCCTGGCAGTGGTCACCGCAGAAACTGATCGGATCAAAATGAATCAGGAAGCTCAGGCGTTAACGCTGCTACAGGAAAATGCGCCTGAACCGTGGCCATTAGCTTTATGGCCATCTCAGTTGGTGGGAACCCAATACGACCCTACCGCATTTGCCGCGCGCTTTCCGATGCCATTGCTACCCAAGGGCTTCAGGCCACCAAACATCGGCTACAACTTCACCTGTACAAATGTGCCCGGCGCGCAGGTGCCTCAATATCTGTGCGGCCATCTCGTTACTGATCAGATAGGCTTGCTGATTCTGACCGGAAATGTTGGCTTCAGCGTCACCATAATGAGTTACAACAAAACTCTGTATTTTGGTTTCATCAGCGAGCCTCGACTGTTACCCGACGTTGATCGCATCGCCGAAAGCGCAGCAGAAACATTTAACAAATTATTGGAAAAAGCCCGAGAACGCACTGCCAGTTTGCAATCATCGTCGGCTTGAAGAAGAGGAAACTATGTCCAACGAAGCTGTTTATAACGCCTTTCCTAAAAATGTGACGCTCCCCGATGGCGCAGCCATTGAACTACGCCAGATGACCGCGGCCGATCGCGATGCCGTACTGGCCTTTGCAAGAGCTTTGCCCCAGGAAGATCTGATGTTTCTACGTCTGGATCTCACTGAGGATTCAGTTGTCGACGCCTGGGTGCAGAATCTGACAACCGGCCACACCTCGTCCATCGTTGCCTATGATGACAATGGCCTGATTGGCTACGCGTCAGTACACCGTAATCCAACCTCCTGGACTCGGCACATGGGAGAGATCCGGGTGAATGTCAGTCCCGAATATCGCAGCCGCGGCCTGGGTCGTGTGTTGATTTCTAACATTTTTGATCTGTCAGGCGCATTGGGGCTACGCAAAATCACCGCACACATGACATCTGATCAGCGTGGTGCGCAAGCTGCATTTCGCCACCTCGGTTTTGTGCCTGAAGCGTTGCTGGCGGATTATGTTCAGGATCGAAATGGCACAACCCGGGATATGGTCATCATGTCTTTTGATGTTACCGGCCATACTGATCAGAGTGCCGGTACGCTGCGCGTTTAAGCAAGCGGTAACAGCACCTTTCCAATGACTTTATAGAGCGCGCCATTCCAGCGCGCAGCAGGTCTTTTTATGTGGTTCATGTTTGTTGTCCTGTTTTTTGTCTTGTGCTGGGGTATATCCCGCTTTTACCTGAGCGGCCCAAGCCTGTCCCAATACGACCAGACTATAAACGTCCCACAAAACCACGAACGCCGCGCCAGCCCGGCTCACAGCGACGTCATTGAACAACTGCAGGCTTTGAGCAGGGGTTTCGGTGCATCTGGTGGCGGTTCCAGACTGAGCCGAATGCGTGCCGCCATGGACAGCATTGGTGAAAGGGCTGATCTTGAAGACATCACTCTGACAGCCGTGGACAAGCCCAACATTAAAGGTGAGTGGGTTGTGGCAGCAAATTCTGACCCGAAAAAACGCCTGCTCTACATCCACGGCGGCGCTTTTATGCTGGGCAGCCCGCTGAGCCACCGCACCATTACCACTAAGTACGCACGTTTACTGGGTGTCAGCGTATTTGCAGTGGATTACCGGATGCTGCCGGAACACAGCCGCCTGGATTGCCTGGCAGATTGTCAGGCAGCGTATCGTTACATTGTCGACAACGGCCCTGAACAAGGTGGTGCAGCCACGCAGTTCCTGGTTTCCGGCGACTCTGCGGGAGGCAACCTGGCGCTGGTCGTCACCGCCTGGGCGCGTGACAACCAACTGCGCATGGCTGACGCAGTCATCGCTATTGCGCCTGCCACAGATAACACGTTTGGCTCGCCGACCATGCGTACAAATGCAGCGACAGATCCGCTTCTCGGACCAACCCTGGGTAAACTGGTGAAATTACCACGCGCGATGTTGTTGTTTTTCTCCTGGTTCAGCACGCGGTTACACCCGACCGACACCCGCATTTCGCCCATACATGATGATTTACACGGCCTGCCACCTATGCTGATACAAGCCAGTGAAGCTGAGATGTTACTCGGGGATGCAAGACGCTATGCCAACAAAGCCAACGCCCAGGGCTCGAGGGTAAAACTGGAAACCTGGAATCACATGGTACACGTCTGGCACGTTTTCGAACCCGATTTACCAGAGGCAAAACAGGCCTTCGAACACATCGCGCAATTTGTAGAGAACCTGCCGATTGCTACGATAGAAACAACACCTGACGGTTTACAGAGCGCACAAAGCTGAACATCTGCAGCCCTTCCGGCTGTTGACAGGTTAAGGTCTATCCGCCGGTATTGACTTCACTGGGTGCCAGGCCGAGATAGTCAACCACCAACGACACTCGTCGGTTTGCGGCACCAGCATCACCCCATTGCCCTGGTTGCAACATGCGCCGGTTATCTTCGCCATAACTCACCGCTCGCACACGTTCCGGGTGTAACCCGCCACTGGTAATCAGGTATTGCCGTACCGCTTCGGCGCGGCGCAGGCCCAGCTGCTGGTTGTATGCAGGGTCCCCCGCTGGGTCCGTAAAACCTTCAACGGTGACCACAACATTGGGATCGTACTGCCGCACCACTTCACTGAACTCGTCCAGCGCAGGTTTGTCTGCCGGGCGTAACGTATCGTCGTCATAGGCAAAGTGGGCGCTCATTTCGACTCGCAGGCGGCCCTGCAGATTAGCGATGGTGGCGTCATAGCCGGAAAATTTACCGTGCAGATCCTGGGTCATTTCTGTGAACTGGCTGCGAAAGCCCTGCAGATCGGCAGCCAGCGTGCTGTCTGTTGCCCGCAGGTCGCTGACGGTGGCATCAAATTCATCCCGTTTCACGTACTGATTACTCGCGCAACCCGCCAGCATGGTTCCGGCCAATACGCTTGCTACTGTGGCCATAACAACACGCCGATTGATGAAATTGCCCATAACGTTCGTTCCCTGCCTGAAGATAAGGTATTGTCCGCCTCTGACGGAGTACCAGTTTATCCCGAAAATCAATTTCAATCAGCCTAAGCCTTTCTACATTACCCGTGTCTGAATTAAATTCACCTGAACCAAACCAGCGCATAATGGACGAGGCCCATCGTTCGCTGGTGAATACCTTTGGATATCCATCATTCCGCGGCCAGCAGGCGGAGATTATTGCGCATACCTGCGCTGGTCTCGACAGCCTCGTGTTAATGCCCACCGGTGGTGGCAAATCCCTGTGTTATCAGTTACCTGCGATGATCCAACCTGGATTGGGGCTGGTGGTATCGCCACTGATCGCGCTGATGCAGGATCAGGTACAGGCACTCACACTCTCCGGCGTATCGGCGGCCTATTTAAACTCCACGCTCAGTTATGATGAACAGCGCTCGGTCATTGATCGTGCCCGCAGTGGCGATCTGAAACTGCTGTACATTGCGCCGGAACGATTGCTGCAACCGTCGACGCTGGAAACCCTGCGTTCCTGTCAGGTTAATCTGATCGCCATTGATGAAGCGCACTGCGTATCTTCCTGGGGACATGATTTCCGGGCAGATTACCTGGCACTGGATATTCTGCAGGCAGCATTTCCCGGCGTCCCGCGGCTCGCGCTGACGGCAACCGCCGACCCGCGCACGCAAGAGGATATCTGCGCACGACTGCGGCTGCGGAAACCAAAAATATTTAACAGCGGCTTTGATCGCCCCAACATCTTTTATTCGGTACAGCCCAAGGTCAACCCCAAAGCCCAGCTGATGTCGTTTCTCAAGGATTACGAAGGCTGCGCCGGCATTGTTTATTGCCTGTCACGCAAGAGTGTGAACGACACCGCACACTGGTTAAGTCAACAGGGCATCAACGCTCTGCCCTATCACGCCGGGTTGAGCGCCGAAGAGCGACAGTTACATCAGGTCCGCTTTTTAAAGGAGGACAACGTTGTGATGGTGGCGACCATTGCCTTTGGTATGGGTATCGATAAACCGGATGTGCGTTTTGTCGCCCATCTGGATCTGCCTAAATCAATGGAGGCGTATTACCAGGAAACCGGACGCGCCGGGCGTGATGGCGCGCCTGCACAAGCATGGATGGTGTACGGTCTGCAGGACGTGGTGCGATTATCGCGCATGGTAGATGAATCTCCATCGGACGAAAGCCACAAACGGGTCGAGCGCAGCAAACTCGACGCGTTGCTTGGCTGGTGTGAAGTCACCAGCTGTCGCCGCGCCAGCTTACTGACCTATTTCGGCGAAACACCGGCACCCCGCTGTGACAACTGTGATGTCTGTGTGACACCACCGGTGACCTGGGAAGCCACTGAAATTGCACAGAAAGCGCTGTCCTGCGTCTACCGCACCGGCCAGCGATTTGGTGCCGGCCACGTTATCGATGTCCTGCGCGGGCAGTTGCGGGACAAAGTTAAACAATTTGATCATCACAATCTGTCAACCTTCGGCATTGGCAAAACACTGTCGGAACAGCAGTGGCGCTCAGTCTTTCGGCAGCTGGTTGTACGCGGGTATTTACAGGTGGATCACAGCCGTTATGGCGCGCTGCGACTGGTCGGCGCGAGCCGGGAACTGTTGCGTGGAGAAACAACGCTGGCCTTACGAGAAGATCCCACGCCGGTAAAGACACGCGGAAAACCAGCGCGCTACAAACTGGAACTGGAAGATGAAGAGCTGATGGAAGACCTCAAAGCCGTTCGTCGCAGCCTTGCCGAAAGCCAGGACATACCACCCTATATGGTTTTCCACGATGCCACGCTCCTGGAGATGATTGCCCTGCGACCTAAAACCATGGAACAACTGCTCGAAGTGAGCGGCGTGGGCCAAGCCAAGCTTGCGCAATATGGCGAATCGTTTTTAGAGCTACTGGCGAAACACAGCGCGTTTTAGCAGCAATCACCATTCACATCACCTTGATCGACAAACGGGCATTCTTACTGATTATCCAAAAGTCGAGTCAATTATGACACCGTCTTACGCTACCCGTGGTGCTCTGTTTTTCTCCTGGTTCATGCCCAGCTTCACCCGCGTTGGTTACTGCTTACGCAAGCTCACCTGGTCAACCAGATCCTTCAACTTTGGCGGTCAGACCTGGCTGATTACTGGCGCTTCAACAGGTATCGGGCGACAACTGGCACTGAGCGCTGCTAACGCAGGCGCCACCGTTCACGTCGTCGCACGCAATACAGAAAAATTGCAGCAGCTGGAAGCAGAGGTAACCTCAACCCGCGGCAGTATTATCAGTCATACCGTCGACCTGTCGCTGATGGCGTCCGTTGGGTCTCTGGCCACCTATTTTGAAAACAACGGCATTGTTTTTGACGTCCTGGTGAACAATGTCGGGCTTATGTTGAACGAGCAGACCCGAACCAGTGAAGGACTCGAAACAGGTTTTGCTACCAATGTACTGGGCCACTATGTCCTCACCGAACAGCTGATCAGCCTCGGTGGGCTGAAGAGCGGCAGCACGGTCATCAACATGAGCTCAGGCGGCATGTACAACGTCGCCCTGGACATCAATGCCCTGCAGGGCGATCACCCCTACGACGGCACGCTGACTTATGCTCGGCATAAACGCGCCCAGGTTGCGCTGAATGAACATTGGCGCCAGACTTACGGCGAAATGATCAATTTCTACACCATGCATCCCGGCTGGGTCAGCACACCTGGCGTGGCAACAGCGATGCCAGAATTTCATGCCGCCCTGAGTCGGCTGTTACGAGACCCTGAAGCCGGTGCCGACACCGCCCTGTGGCTGGCATTCACCAAGCCTGAACAACGCGATGCGCAGAATATCTGGTTCGATCGCGCCCAGCGATCACCACACTTTTTCAGTGGCACACGACAGGGCGATAGCAAAGCAGCGTTAGTCAGCTATCTGCAATCGCTAACCCAACGGTCCCTCGAGGCCGCCTGAGAGGACATCCATGGGACAGCTGATCCAGGGCCAATGGCACGCTGAAGACCTGCCCCGCCACCAGGCTGATGGTAAATTCGAGCGGCCCAACAGCCCCTTTCGCCATTGGATCGGTGCACCTGACGGACGCTTTCCTGCGGTCAAAGATCGTTACCATCTGTTTGTGAATCCCGGCTGCCCCTGGGCTTATCGGGCCATTTTATACCGCGCGATAAAAAACCTTGGACATGTCGTTAGCTTATCCTCTACCGCCGCCGCTGCGGGTGATCAGGGCTGGCACTTCGACAATCCCCCCGAGCCACTACTACAGACCACACACCTTCATGAAGTGTACAGCCGTGCTGATCCGGCGTTCACCGGGCGGGTTACGGTTCCGGTCTTGTGGGACACTCACAGCAACACCATCGTGAACAACGAATCCGCTGACATTATCCGCATGTTCAACGAAGCCTTTAACGCCATTGAAGGCGTCTCCCAGACAGACTACTTCCCCGCACCACAGCGGGCAGAGATCGAAGCGCTTAATCAGGTGATCTACGCTGACGTGAACAACGGCGTCTATCGATGCGGTTTTGCCCAGTCGCAGAGCGCTTATGATGAGGCCTATGACAATCTGTTCAACACGTTAGATCAGCTGGATGAACGCCTGGCAACCCGCCGGTATCTATTTGGTGATGACGTCACAGAAACAGACTGGCGCCTGTTCTCGACGCTGGTGCGTTTTGATCTGGCTTACTACAGCCGTTTCAAATGCAACCGTAATCTATTGAGTGAGTTTGAACACCTCTGGCCGTACACAAGAGATCTGTATCAGCTTCCGGGTGTCGCCGACACTGTAGACGTCAGCGCTATCAAAGGGATCTACTACGGTGCGGGTAAACCCGGCATACTGCCTAAAGGCCCGGCATTGGATTTCAGCGCGCCGCACAACCGCGATGACATCCACGTCTGAGGTCAGCCATCTGCAGCGCTGAATCTCTCACTCTGCAGCACAGACACCCCCAAACCGCGGACACGCCATATGCCTGTTATTCTGGATCGCTTCGAACAACGCGTTCTAGGCTGCTTATTGGAAAAAGCAGTTCTGACACCAGACCAATATCCATTGAGCTTAAATGCGCTGGTAAATGCCTGTAACCAGAAATCGTCGCGTCAACCCATCATGACGTTGAACCCCGGCGAGGTTCAGCGCGCAGTACGTGGCCTGCAGGACAAACACCTGCTGCGCAGCGATGAGAACTTTAAAACCCAGGTGGAGAAATACACCCACCGGTTCTGCAATACGCCTTTCAGCGACTATCAGTTCACACCGCCACAATACGCCATCATTACCGTTCTGCTGCTGCGCGGTCCGCGCACGCCTGGAGAACTGCGCACCAATAGCGGCCGCTTATACGAATTTGCAGACAATGCTGAGGTGGTCAGGGAACTGGAAGCATTAATGAACCTGGACAATGGTGCGTGTGTGGCGCAACTGCCCAGAACACCAGGGCGTAAAGACAGTGAATACCAGCACCTGTTTGGCGATGCACCGCTGACGTCAACAACCTCTGTACCCGCTCAAGCGGTCGCAGTTGCGAAGGCTGTATCGCCTGTACCTGATGATCTTTCCCAGCGGGTGGCCGAACTGGAAAGCGCGCTTGCCGCGCTGACCACCTACGTACATGCAAAACTGGGTCGTCCAGAGGACGACCCCTAGCAACACATTCAGGGTTTGAACGGTTCGCTGTAGTTCTCCGCACCTACTTTGCGCACATCACTTAACCAATCCCCTTCATAGGGCCAGCTCTCAGGCGCCTCCGGTGAAGGTCCCTGCCAGAATCGCTGCATCGGTCCGGGTATGGGATTTTTTTCCAGCGACCAGGCCTGACGACGAAACGTCCAGCTGTCCGGAACTAATTCATGCGCCTTACGAAAGTGGGGTATCGCCTCAGCATGCGCTCCGGCCAGTTCCAGAGCACTGGCGAGTTCGAAATGGGCATGACCCAGTGATACCTCGGCACTGCGGGGACGGGATCGACTGACCACTTCATCCGGTGACAAAGCAAAACGACTTTCGGCGCCATGTTCCACCCAATCCCGGAGCGCGGCGTGATACGCCTGTGCATCAGATTTTATTTTTACCGCTTCGCCCATCATCTCAACAAAACGTTCAGGCATGGCTGGCGCATCACCCGCTGGTGGCGGCGCCTGTTGTGTTTCAGGTTGAGGTGGCGCGGGCGCTGCCTCAGCGGGACGCACAATGACCCCCTGTTCATCGATCCAGATCGCACTGGGTATATTGATCACACCAAATTTCTCTGCCAGCACATGGTGCTGATCAATCAGCGCCGGATGTTGTGGCGCGGCGGCTTCAATGTAAGCGCGGCAACCTTGTTCACCCAGTGTATCCAGGCCAACGGTAACCAGTTCAAAATTTTGCTGATGTAATTCTTCGCGCAGGGCCTGCCACACGGGCAGGTCATTTGAGCAGCCTCAGTAAGGTGCCCAGGCGTATACCATTACCTTCTGGCCACGCAGGCTCGCCAGATCAAACGGCTGACCATCAAGATCCGGCAGCACCAGGCTGGGCGCATCAGCAGTGACCAGCGCGCGAGCACCAATGGACTCCGGTCCGACCGCGTATAAACCATGGTTTTCGTCGACCAGCATGGGTAATCCCAGCGCCTCTGTGATAGACGCCAGCTCGACAGTTTCAGCATTATCCGCAGCAAGCACATCAGCCGACAGCGGAATGCAGACGTCACCTTTGCACGCGCCTTCGGGCTTGAACGCCCAGCCACTTTTTTCTTCAAACTCTGCGATGGACACAGAGGCACTTTTAAACAACATAAACAGAACTCTTTACACAAGAGCATGGACCATATCGCTTCGTGCAGGGGTTGCCAAGCCTGATGGGAAAGCCGTCGGGGACAGTTGAATCAATAGCGCAGATGGTCTGCCAGCTCGGCCAGTTCAGCTGGCTGCAGCACCGTTACCTGATGCCGACGTGCAGCTATCAGCCCACGCGACTGCAGGCGCGAAATGACCCTGGACAGGCTTTCGAGCTTCATCCCAAGATAGCTGGCCAGATCTGTGCGACTCATTGGCATTGGCAAAACAGTCTCATCCAGACCCAGTTCGGCACGGCGGATGCCATATTGCATACAATAGCCTGCAAAGCGCTTCTCCGCGGACGTCTGACGCAGGTTGACCTGATGCATGATTTCGAAGCGGGCCTGCTCCGCCTGGTTGTTGAACATCGCGGCAGACAGCCCCTGTCTACCAAGATGTTCAATCGCCTGGGCATCCAGACGACATAACGATACTGTTTCTAAAGCAACCGCGGATTCACTATGCACACCTGAGCAACGTCCAGAATCGAGCGTGTCGCCGGCAAGATAAAACCCCGTGACACACTCCTCGCCTGAAGAGGTGGTCACAACAGTCTTCACCATGCCGGAACGGATATGGTATTGCCCCAACACTGGTGCACCTGCGCGATACAGATATACCCCCGCCTGCAGAGGTGACACGACATGCAGTGATTCTGCCAGACACTGTTGCTGCGACAGGGTTGCATATTGCGCCAGACAGGCTTTCTGTGTGGGGCAGAGCTCACATCGAGCAAGCTCGCGAACGTTGTTGTTCGCTATCAGATTTGTTGCACTCATCAACGAAACTGTGGCGTGGCTTGTCAGCTTACGATACCAGGGAAACTACCTAGCCCTTTGCGACAATCCCCGGGGCAGGATCAGCGGCAGATTTGATTCAGATCAAACGCGCTTTTCTCACGTGTAATAGATTGGCGGCACTTTTACTGCACATGGATATTCCAAGGAGTCTTTCGATCATGAAGAAATTATTACTCACTGCACTATTACTGGCTTATGGCAGCAGCGCCTGGGCTGAGGCTGGAGACTTCCTGGTTCGCGTTGGTGCCTCCATAGTGGACCCGAAATCAGATAACCATCCGGCAGTAGACGTTGAATCAGGAACGTCCCTGACATTTAACGGCACTTACTTCATGACGGATCAGTGGGCGGTTGAACTGCTGGCTGCACTGCCGTTCAAACACGACATTGATGCCAGAGGTGGCGGCAACATCGGTGAGACCAAGCACCTGCCGCCTACACTGAGCGTGCAATATCACTTTACCCCCAACCAACCTGTGCGCCCTTACATTGGCGCAGGTTTGAACTACACCATTTTCTTCGAAGAAGATCTGGATGGCGCGGATCTGTCGCTGGACAACTCTCTTGGATGGGCTGCCCAGATAGGTGTTGACATCGACCTTACCGAAAGCATGTTCCTTAACGCAGACGTGCGTTATATCGATATTGAAGCCGATGCAAAGGTGAATGGTGCCAGTATTGGTACTGTGGAGATCGACCCCTGGGTTTATGGTATCCATCTCGGCTTCCGCTTCTAAGCCGGCAGCAACCTTCGCTGGTGGCGCATCAACTTGTGATGCGTCGCCAGATCTGCAAACCTTCATTAAGATGCTTTAACTGCATAAACCCGTCCCCTGGATCAACCGCACAAACGTATAAAGCCCCTGGCTCCAACCGGCCAAGCTGATGTAGCGGGACAAAATAGGTCTGCAGCTGCGTATACCGCGTCAGATAAGCACGACGGCGCAGAGCAATATCACAGAACGCCAACACCACATGCTCCCGTGTCATAACGATTTCCGAGACTGCGGACACATCCGACAGTTCAACCTCATCTTTGCCCATGTGGCCAAAGCTCACCACCACACGCAGCGCAATCAGCAGCACTACAAATACAATCGCACCCACCATCCAGCGCGCCTTCACCGCAGGCCAGGCGGGACGTGCAATCAACCCAAGAACCAATGCAAAGTAAGGTAAACACGACAGCAGATAGTGTTTGTACTGTCGCGGACTCAATAACAGGGGAATAAACGCACACAGACCAAGCAACAGGTACACTTTCGAGATGCTCGGCAGTTTGATATCGAAGCGTCCACGACTGCACAACAACAGAACCGCACCAGCAACAGCAATGTTGCTGGCAAACTGGGCCAGCAGATAAAGGCGGCCGTTCTCCGGCACCCGCAACCCGGTAAACGTGCCTATGAGCTGCGTATCGAGGTAAGCCAGCATCGCCAGGCGCGACGGCTCATAGACAAACAATGCCGCGGCCAGCAGCAGCCCGGGTACCGCAGCAAGCAGGCTGTTTTTTACCGCCGTCCAGCGATTCTTCAACACAAACCAGGCAAACAGGAATGGCGCAACAAGGGGGAACAGGCCGACAGGCCCTTTGGTCAGAATAGCTGCACAACACAACAGCCCTGTTATCAGATTCAGCCAGGGTCGCTGCATGCCAAACCAGGCAAACACCACGGCCCATAACGTGAAAACCGCTAACAATACTTCCAGAGGATTGTTAACTAAGGTAAACCTCACCACCGGCATGCACAGTAAAAGCAGCATCACCCACCAGATGTGATGATGCCTCGTTACACCAGAGTTGCCTGGTTGTTCTGACTGGCACGAAAACCAGAGCACACCCACACCTGAGCAGAACAAGATGATGAGCAGCAATAGAAAACTGCGTTCAACCCAGAAGCTCTCACCGAAGATTTGCGCCCAGAACGTCAGCAGCCACAACCCCAACGGCGGATGATCATAGAAACCGCCAACACCCGCTTCGAAATGAGGCAGCACCCAGAAGCTCCCCTGCCCCTGAGCAAACAACTGCGCGATGGCACTGTAAATAACACCATCCAGAGCCATCGACAGTTGCACCAGGTCAGCTGCGAGCCAGAGCGCAAAACAAGCGACGACCAATACCAGGCCGATCCAATGCCGGTCTATCGTTCTACACCTGGTGTAACAAATACGTCAACGTCTGCAGATCCGCAGACCCACAGGTTTCTCCTACATCCCACTATTCAACCTCTTTTCGATGCCCGGTTTGGCAGCGCACTCTACCCAACATTCACGCCAACGGGTATAAAGGAGATGCATAGAGGGGGAGATCAATGCAAAAATTCTGTTGGATGATTCTGATATTCGCTGGTGTTGTTGCTGGCGCGGCAGGCCCGTCTCGAAGTGTTAACGCAGCCGAAATTCCGCAAGTACACCCCGGCAAAGCCGTTTACGACAAACACTGCGCGGTCTGTCACGATCATCCTGAAGAGAGTCGTTCGCGTTCTTTTGCCACTCTGCAGCGCATGATTCCCGCCCTGATCGCCCACGCGATTACTGATGGGCGCATGAAAGAACAGGCCAAAATGCTCACCCCCGAAGAGCGCACGGATCTGATCGGCTTTTTTACCGGACAAACCCGGGACGATAACCTGTGGGTAGCGCAGCACATGTGCGCATCCGCTGATCAACCCCTGGTGCTGAACGAGACAGCCACCGTCAGCGGCTTTGGGCTGGGGTTAAAGAACCACCGGTATTTAAGTGCAGCACAATCAGGTCTAAGCACCGCTGATCTGTCGAGGCTGGAACTGAAGTGGTCTCTGTCTTTTCCGAACATCACCATGATGAGGTCGCAACCCGCAATCGTGGGCAACACTTTGTTCCTCACACCTGTCGACAGCCAGCAGCTGTACGCCATCGACATCAGCGACCAACCCTGCGTGCGCTGGGTTTACCAGTCAGATATGCCTTTGCGGACCAGCCTGACCTTTGGCCAGGTGAACAACCCTTCAGCACAAGCGACAGGCTCTACAACACCCGCGCTTGTATTTGGCGACTCTGCCGGACGCATTCACCTGCTCAATGCCAGCACAGGTACCGCCATGTGGCGTAAAGATCTGAAACTGTTTCCGGAAACCATCATCACCGGCACTCCCCAGCTTGTTGACGGCGTGGTGTATGCGTCGATATCACAGTTTGAAATCATGGTAGGCGCCCAGTCCACGCATCTGTGCTGTCGCTCTCATGGCGCGGTTGCGGCCCTGGATGCAGCCAGCGGCGACACCTTATGGCTGACCCATGCAATGCCTGATGCCAGACCAATCCGCGACCGCGGTGACGGTCAGATGATATGGGGACCTTCCGGCGCACCCATTTGGACCTCACCCGCCATCGATTTGAAACGCGGGCTGCTTTATGTAGGCACCGGTGAAGCCACCTCGGAACCTGCCCACCCGAACACGGATGCCATTCTGGCTTTGGATCTGAAAACCGGCGAAATACGCTGGGCTTTTCAGGCCACGGCAAACGATATATTCCTGGCAGGCTGCCGGCGAGAAAACCGCTCGGCCAATTGTCCGCCTGAGACCAGCGTCGAACGGGATGTGGATTTTGGCGCCTCAGTCATCATTGCACAGATGAGTAATGGTAAAGACGTGCTCCTCGCCGGACAGAAATCCAGCGATGTCTGGGCTCTGGATCCAGACAACAAAGGCGCCGTGTTATGGCATTGGAACAAGGGCCGCGGCACCGCCAACGGCGGCGTGCACTGGGGTATGGCCTACGATGGCAAACGCGTATTTGCCGGCCTGGCTGATCCGGGCCGCCCGCGACCCGGCTTTGAACCTCAACCAGGTTTATACGCCATCGATGTAGATAGCGGTGAATCCGTGTGGAGCTACCGCACGCAGCCTGCGTGCGCCAGCCGCCAGGAAAAAATGCCTTATTGCGAATTCCTGTATGGATTTTCAGGTGCCACGCTGGCTGTGGATGGCGCTGTGATTCAAGGCAGTCTGGATGGATTCGTGCGGATTTTTGCGGGAGACACCGGTGAGATCCTGTGGGATTACGATACCGTGCGCGCCTTTAAAAGCGTCAATGGTGTCACAGGTCATGGGGGCGCCATCGATAACGCCTCTATCGTTGCAGCTAACGGTATGGTGTTTGTGAGTTCCGGCT